GCCGACTCCGATGCAGCAGCCGGCATGACCTCAATGGCTTTCCAGGAGCGTGTGCATATACCGACTGGCAGTGACGTATAGTTCGGGAGATGCTCGATGAATAGTAACAGTTGGCTGGTACTTTGTAAGGAGCAGGAGAATTCGGGTTTATTTATTCCCACTTTTGTCTTGGTATTGATCTAACTTATTGGTGTTTCGAAGTAGATTTTCGAACGTAGATCTGGGCAATGTTCGTCGTACGACTTATTTAAACGATTTGCTACTGGTCTGGACAATGTTTAAACTGTAATTTATCCACACCTCGAACCGTCATGAAGTGAAAACCAATATATTTTTGCTGGAACAATCATGTTGGAATTGTTTAATGAGGGTAATACCAGTTCCTACCCACAATAACAGGGACTCGTCAGCCATTCTCAAACCTCCTCCACTTTTTGGCAGTCGTATTGACGAAGTCATGGAAAAGTAGAGTGACCAATTGAGTGATGTTCATGTACGAGTAACGACGCCGCACCCGATCCTGAGCGACATAATGAGATATGAGAACCGTCATGGATGTATGAAAACACGTCAGATATCTCTGGTCTTGAAATGGATCCAAATTCAATGTTTCTGGCATTTTGACGTCCATGAGGTTACGAACAGAGCCATTCCTCAGAAGCCATGCCCCTGACGACTTCTGAAATGATCTCGTAATTAGTTGTTATGCCCCCGTATCGCTCGCCCTGCTGCTGCTCTAGAAAACGTACGCCAAAAGACTTTTCAAAGTAGACCACTTTCCCCAGGAGAGTCATCGAGAGAATCATACCTTGAACCAATCGTCTACGCTCTGCGCATACAAACAAGCAAGAATATCTGTTGAACTACTGTATCAGCTCGTCTTCTGCAGAGATTAACACGTCTTGAACTCCCCACACCTGGGCCGTTCGACTTAAGAAAGAAACTGTGATACAAGGCAGATACATACTGGAGTTCGTGAAACGGTGAGCATTCCAGTGGTGTGTGAATGTCATCTTCAGGTAGAGATGGTAGCGGGCATGACTGTGACGGAGTGTTATAGGCTGCGTCATGCTGTGCGCGTATTGAGTATGACTGCCGGTCAACATTTTTTTTCCTTCCCCATAGTCCTGCAGGCTGCCGGGACTTGCATATCCTTGCTACCTGAGAGTCCAAGCCGCGAATGAGTGATGAAAATATAGCAATACCTGAACCTGCTAGTGCAGCGTAACCGATCATTAATACCGACGAACTTTCAAAGGTACTCCAATACCATCTTCTCCAACAACCCGCAGACGTGGCAAAATCCCCTTCGCAACCTCGAGCTGAGTATCCGATCCATCCCGCATCTCAAATAGAACCGCGTGTATTGCAGCGAGCAACATCGAAACTAGCTGATATGTAGCAATCACCTTGAATTCTGCAACCGTAAAATCTTTTCGAAGACACGTCCTCGGGCCGTCAACATATGTCAGCAAATGTCTATGACCTTGAACTTTCTTGGCCTTCCCACTGACCTCTTCAATGTAATTCACATCTGTGCCTCCGGTTCTGGTGTCGCATCTGTTCGATCATCCCAGTCTTGCATCTGCTGGTCCTCGTATTTTGTCCTAGGGCCTGCGCTGGCGCTCGTACTAGCGCCTGGACATAGTGACAGTGGTTTTGAATAACACGGGTATAAAGACATCGCCGAGGCACTAGTTGTAGGTGGTTGGTCCTGTCGTCGATGCTGATAGTACATGGTGCAAAGGGGCAAAAGTTATCAATGGAGTGCAGCATCGTTCGTACGCAGATGGATAAAATACTGACTTTCAAAACCCGATATTCATACATGTGGTACACTGTGCCAAGTTGACAGTCGATGGAATACGCCAAGAAGTTGAACAGGTCGCTGTGAGCAGTGTAGCTTGTCTCATGCTAAAAAAGTGTTCAAAGTTGTTGGAATTGAAAATTGGACGTGGGATAGAAATTCATAGAATACCGGATTCTGAGGGAGAAAGGATCTGATTGCAACAAGCCATGCAGGACCGAGTCCCGACGGATGGAGCATATCGTGGACGATTCGTGTCCCGGCGCTTGTTTGCGGCAGAAAAACGGACCGAAATATAGTGTGTCGTCCCGGTTGAAGCAGTGCTTAGGTACAATGTTTTCCGACCCAAGCGCATATGAGGCGACATCGTGCTTCATGGAATAAGCTGCATGCTGTAGACACGTTGCCCCAGCAACGCACCTTGACCAAAACCATTGCTTCAGCAATAGGTAGATCTCTCGCATTCTCCTCTTTGACATCTCTAACTTCCGGCTAGGCATAACAGACGAGGAACTCAGCGGCCTCAGGAGAACAACTGAGAATGAAGGATGTCAAACAGCTACCTAGATCACATCGAGAGCCTGTCAAGACGTTTCAGGGTCATGATGGGAACATCACCTCAATCGCAACTTTTTCGGATGGCAAGAGAATAGCGACCGGGTCTGTCGACAAGACAATACGCATATGGAGGCTTGAGGACGGCACAGAGATGATGAAGTGGGTGGTGAAGCAGATGCTTGGCCCATGTGTAGTCTTGGGAAACGGGAAACAGGTTGTAATTGCTGAGGGAGAGGACCCAACAGGCGATCCTGAAGAAAGTTTCCATGAAGACGATTTCGATAATGTGGCGTCATGGCAGTTATGGGTACGTGATGTTGAGAGTGGGAGCATCGTCGCAGGTCCCTTGGAAGGTCACACAAACATTGTGGTTACTTTGGACATTTTTCCTGACGGCGAGATATTGGCCAGCGGGTCAATGGATCGCACAGTGATTTTATGGGACACGACCACCTGGCAGAGGAAAGGTGAACCTCTCTTGTGCGACTCGCCCATCCTTTGGATCCGATTTTCTCCGACCGGTCAGCTCGGCGTTGCTACCACTGAAGATATCCAAATATGGGACTTGGAACCAAGGAAGCGTCTTGCTCAATTCAACGGCCACTGCGGCTTTAACGATGCAGCGAACCTCTCGCTCACCTGGACTCCCGATGACGCACATCTCTTCTCAGCTGGTAGTGGCAGTGATCCTGTCATCCGCTGTTGGGACACATCGACCTGCAAACAGGTTGGTGATCCTTGGACTGGCCATGACGAAAATGAGGATATCAATCATATCGTCTTGAACCCAGCTGGCACCCTTCTTGCATCAGCATCTGGAGACTATACTGTTCGATTGTGGCAGTTCGCCACAGGTACAGAAGTAGCCCGATTTGAGCACTCAGATGAGGTGTATCGTGTTGCATTCTCAGTGGATGGACGCTTTATATTCAGTGGCGCCAGGGACATGAAAATCTCGCAATGGGAGATACCTGAGGATGTGCTCGCAGCAGCGGAAAGCGATTCTCTGGCCGGCGTGAATAATGAGGTGACTACTCCCCACTATGATCCCACTCCCTCGCATGCTCACACTCACTCGTTCCAAGGCTGGTCGTGCCAAACACAAGGTGTGTTTTCTAACACTGCATATGATATAAATCCTGACTATCGATCAGATGAAAGGACTGCTCAATGTACGTCATTTGAATCCCATTTGATGACCTCCGTATTTGATTGATTTCTTAGTCGGATATTCATGGCCAGCGCCGAAATAGGCCGGTGAACTACCAGCTCGCCAATCACTCTGCATCGCCACTCGCTCACGCGGGAGGCCCTTCATCATCTCGCTCGCTTGATGTCAGGACCTTCTTCAATGGCATGAGGCCGTCATTTGACAAGAAGGGAAAGAAAAAGGAGCATCAACCCAAACGAAAAGCTCCGCGAGTCGTCGACGTTCCTCTCGGAATAGCAACACCTGTTTGTTTCATGCAATTCTATCGGATTCTTGAGAACTGACCCTATCCTTCGCTAGGGTGACGCTGTTGGCGTGGATGACGGAGAACGACCATATGTACTCTTCTTCTGCCTTAGCTGGTTCCAGAAAAAGGAGAAGAAATCGGTCCCACGGCCAGTCTATGATGACGACCCTTCGGATGATGAATCTGAGCATTCCATTGCTAACGTTCCCATACCTACTACTAGGTAACACTAGGTGATTTGCTTGTTAAATGGGTTTACTGATGTACTGCTGTAGGACCCAATTCGACGCCCCCCAAAAAGTCAAATTGAACCCAGTGACTTTCTTTCAGTCGCAGCCCGAGGCAGGGCTATCTCGACTCGCAGCGCCAGTCGACAATGAACAAGAGGTAGACATTGTCAATGTCTCGATGCCTACCCCCAGGTATAAAAACCTCATTCGTTTGTTGTACGGATGACCTGATGCAGTGTCGTAGGATCCAAACCTCCCAGCGCGAAGACATCGAATTGAAACCGATGTCTAGTCAGTCCCAGCCAGAAGCAGGACCATCTCGCCTCGAGGCACATGAAGAACACAGTCGTCGTAGTCAGTTATATCTTTCAAGCTTTACATCGTAATTACAGCTTTCATTGCGTCCGTCCGTGACGACCGCGAACCTTGAAATTGACCGCCCGCATTCGCTGAGGTTATCTGCTGCTCTTACGGTAATTCACTTGGGCATCAGAATATCGTTGGTCCTATATTGTCCTACGTCAGTTTCATATTCTTTCATGAGCCGAGGGAACCACCGTGGTCAACAGTGAGGTGTGTCGTTCAATTTAATGCTGCACCATCAACCAATCCCACAACTCTAACCAATTTATCATCCTGGTTTGATCCTGTCACACCCGCCGGGCAGTGATGTCCACCATCATTGGCGCCTGTGTCGGCGTGGTGTCGTCGGTGAGTGCCGTATTTTTTACTCATCGCTCGGTTGGAAGCTCATGGTGTCTAGACTTTGTGTTCTCTCCTGATGTCAAATATGTAGCAGCCATTTCAGAGGATGGGTGTTTGAGGGTAATTGATCCACTTGCAGAGCAGTATGTCGTCTCCCCCTTTGATTGCTAAACAGAACTTAATATTATGTAACTTGTCCAGGCTGGTTGATCGTTATGCGTCCTATTTCGGTTCTTTGACCAGTGTTGCATGGTCTCCTGACGGGCGCTTCATTCTCGTGCGTTTCTCCACATGCTTATAACTCAAAGAACGCCTTTGATTGTCTATTCTCAACCAGACTGGCGGCCAAGATGACCTCCTCACCATTTTCTCCCCTTGGGAACAACGTGTTGTCGCACCGATGTCAAGAACACTCCTCCTTCGTCTCAGCCGTCGCGTTCGACGAGCTCCGTTGCGATGGACGGACATACCGCTTCGGTAGCGTAGGAGAAGACAACAAGCTCATTCTCGTGCGTTCGTTATCAATACCCATGAACGACTGATCACTCAACTAAATCTAACCAATAGTGCGACTTTTCCTCTGGCGCTTTTCATCGCCCCAAACATCTCGGAGCACACCATCCACGCATATCAATGTCGTCTAGCATTTCCCTCGCTTACCGCCGTGGTACGGGGTCGACGATCCAACTCTCTGCGACGCGGTATCATCCTGCGCCTTCGAGGAATGAAGTGTCAACTGTACAACCTGTATTGGTGGGTCTTCCTCGTTGAAAATGGATTCAAATTCAATATTTCTGGCGTTCTGACGTCCATGAGGCTACGAACAGGGCCATTACTCAGAAGCCATGCCCTTGACGACATGGTCTCGTAATTAGTTGCTATGCCCCCGTACCGCTCGCCCTGCTGCTGCTCTAGAAAACGTACGCCAAAAGACTTTCCAAAGTAGACCGCTTTCCCCAGGAGAGTCATCGAGAGAATCATACCTTGAACCAATCGTCTACGCTCTGCGCATACAAACAAGCAAGAATGTCCATTGAACTTGGTTGAACTGGTCTTTACAGTTTAAACTGTATCAGCTCGTCTTCTGCAGAGATTAACACGTCTTGAACTCCGTTTGCCTTGATCTCATACCTCAAACAAGCTTAATCTTGACCACACCTGGGCCGTTCAACTTCTAAGAGAGAAACTGTGATACAAGGCAGATACATACTGGAGTTCGTGAAACGATGAGTACTCCAGTGGCGTGTGAATGTCATCTTCGGGTAGAGATGGCGGCGGGCATGACTGTGACGGAGTGTTATAGGCTGCGTCATGCTGTGCGCGTATTGAGTATGACCGCCAGTCAACATTTTCCCCCCTTCAGAGTCCGTCCAAGCCGCGAATAAGTGAGAAAAACATAGGAATATCTGAACCTGCCAGTGCAGCGTAACCGATCATTCATACCGACGAACTTTCAAAGGTACTCCAATGCCGTCTTCTCCAACAACCCGCGGACGTGGCAAAATCCCTCTCGCAACTTCGAGCTGAGTATCCGGTCCATCCCGCATCTCAAATACGAAATTCTTCACCAGAATCAATAGAACCGCCTGTATCGCAGTGAGCAACATCGAAACTAGCTGATATGAAGCAATCACCTTGAATTCCACAACCGCAAAATCTTTTCCAAGACACGTCCTCGGGCCGTCGACAAAGGTCAGCAAATGCCTATGACCTTGGACTTCCTTGGCCTTCCCACTGATGCCCTCTTCAGCCAGCCAACGTTCAGGCTTGAATTCCTTTGCGTCAGGTCCCCAGATGGCAAAAGAACGATTGATCGCCGCAGCTGGTATCGTAATCAATGTCCCCTTCGCTACATATATATGGTCCGTCATTTCCCCAGACGCGTTGCACACAGGTTCGCTCAAGGGAATGACGTCATCTGCGGCTGCCTGTACATCTATTGTCAGTGTTTCTATTCGTACTTAGACAGGAACACTTACAACACGAGTGAACTCGGGTATCGGAGGATGGAGTCGTAGAACCTCATGAACAACCCCATCCAAGTATGGGAGATTGGCCTTTAATTGGTCATATGTCGGATCAGCACCAAACGCAAGTAGTTCCTCTGAGTCTGGTTTGGGCATCGGGGTGTTGCGATAGCTCGATCAGCGCCCACTGATCATCACATGAATAGCGCGTACAGACGTTATAGGACACTAGACTTACAGTAAGACTGACTGCCAAGGAAAATCAGCCGATGTGATAGCACCAGAAAACAATCAACTCACTCGATGTTGTTTCATAACCCGCAATAAGCAAGACCTTCATCTGCAGGATGTCAGCTTGAAATCATGGCTATGATAATCTCTACGAACCTGAGCCACTACTTCTTCCTTTGACATACGAAGCTCGGCATCCTGGCCTTCAGATTTGACTGATCGTCGCGTCAATCAAGGGAATACGATGAATCATGTGGAAAACGTACAACAATCCAATGATGGACTTCTCCTCGTCTCTCTCGATCATGTTCGCATCCTTTTCCCTGCGACTGCGAATCAACAAGTCGTTCGATATTTCTCCCATGGTTGCACTGAGGTTGTTGAACAGTTGCGTCCGCTTATTGGGGATCTTGAGAATGACAGGAAACGCTGACGCGAGCAGCATAAAAGCGTGGTTCACTGCTGAGGCCTTTGAGTCGTTTCCGAAAGTATCAAACGCTTCCGTCACGCTGGCGTGCTGTCCATCAAGCGAGCCAAAATCATGGGAGAAACCAGCAATGCCGACAGTATCCAGACTGGTATTGCATCATTCTCGAGGCTTCAATGGCAAAAAAATGTTGCGTACGATATATGATTCATCCTTGGAGTTGTTTCGATTAGGAATGATACTTTGTCCAGCCAGGAAAGCTACGCACCAGTTTTGAACTTCAATGACAGTATTCCCATCTTTGCTTGATTCTATAGCAGTGTCCCATGCACCTTTGGCCTGTAACGCATCAACCTCATAGATGCATTTCCCACATTGCGAATCCTTACCTTGTATGCTGAGTCATAAAACACTGATGTGAGTTTCCGAATAGCTGCATTACTGAAAGCTGGCGTAAGGGCCTTCCGCTGCCTGGTTCACACAATTAGTCTCTGGCGTGAGGACAAGAACTGAACAGCACCTCCTGTGGTTCTCACCGTGAGACCAGATGAGCCCTCTGCCGATCTGACAAGAAGATATCAGATAGATGAGGGTAAGAAGAGGGCGATAACATACCGATGCCTCTAACAATGCCGACATAATGGGCGTGTGCACATAGATCCATGTCTCCCGGGCATAAAAATGTGCTATGGCCTTTGGGTCACATAGCACAATTGTCGTTTGTCCGAGGACGCTCGGAATCATATACGCTACCCCATATTGCGTCGCCCAATGTTCATACATTGCACCACTATCATGAGATGACTCGAGGTCGTGCAAAACGCCATATACGAAGCTGGTACGAGGTGGACTCCGCAGTTGAGTCGTCTTCAATCGCCGGCGAAGCGCCCTTAGGACTTTGACAAAAGCCCATAGTGCAGTAAATGAACCAGCGACATTCAGCGCACCAACCGAACGTACGGTTGTCCAGAGATTTAATGTAGAGGTTATAGCGATGGTAGATGCGTTCATTGTTATGTTGGATTCGACATGGAATCTGCTGGGATATTTATAGCCATGTCTGTGGCAGCGGCCATGACAACGAAGTTCGCCAGCTTGTGGTCGAAAGTGGACTGTAGAATGCAGGAGTGACGCCCCCGACACCGGTGTTTATCGTCAGCATAATGATTATTTATAGAACCCAAAACCTATGTCTGAATTGAAAGTGTGGCGCACTGAGTGGACGAACTAGTCAAACTGCACGAGTGAATATGTCATACGGTGTAAATATCAAGCAGGAGCCAATTTGAGCTTGAAGGTGACAGGTGACAGTCAACTGAATGTTGGTATGCAGCCTTGCGCGGAGATAAGTTCGCGCCGTTGTGATTCGGTACGCAGCCTGGCTAGACGAAAGAGCGCGGCTACTACACAGCTGGCCCAGGAACGGAGTCTCCGGTCTTGATTTAAGGACATCTTGAATCATCAGAGATTTGAGCACGTTGCTACAAGGAAAGACGAGCCCCGACAGACTACTGGTCTTTGACGGCAGGTATAAGATCACTAGTCTGCAGTGGCCAGTCGTGGATTGAGGGTATCACTATAAATATGGCGTAAGTACAACTGCATTCCACGAGCAGTCCTCGAGTACCGAGACGTTTAACCACCCTATCTTCCTGAAGAATGATAAAAAAGGGCTCCTTAGGGTATGCTATCGGAATCACTATGATCAGCTTGGTCTCATTCTTCTTCTCCGCCTAGTCACCTGGAAATTGCAGCATTCTTGCGTCACTGTGTAAGATTTCTTCCCTGCTCCCGATGTCAATCTCCTCAACCCCAATCCGGTTGTTCATTAGGAGGACCTCCATCTTCGCGTCGCCTCAACCTTGTTATCTTGTAAATCCACTGCTGGACGCTCGCAGATCTTGTTAGCGAGCTCTGAAATTAGTGGTTGTTGAGGGTCCTCCTAGGCTCCTACACCTAATCGTGCAGTACCATTCTGGCGATCGGATGTCATTCGGACTCCCTGCCTTTTTGGTGGCGGGTGTGCTTTCTCCGCGTTCAACAGTAGTCATAGGAGACTCTATACGAGCCATAGGCGGTGACGAATGACCTTCTCTTGCAGCGCCTTTCGACCGTGACGCGTCTATCCAGGAGGTCTATGCATCGTCCACATTGCGGACGATGAAGTAGTTGGTGAAGCAGTGGGTCGGCACTTGTAATCTTGGGGAACGGGAAACAGGTTGTTGTCAATATTGAGGGAGATGGCCCAAGACGCAATCCTGAAGACGATTTTCATGAAGACGATGTCGATAATGTGGTGTGTTGGGAGTTATGGGTACGTGATGTTGAGTGGAAGGGTTAACGTTGTCGCAGGTACCTTGGAAGGTCACACCAACGTTGTGACTACTTTGGACATTTCCCTTGACAGTCGCACCTTGGCCAGCGTTGGACATGGGCACCTGGCGGAGGAAGGTGGCTCACCCGTCTATTGCGGCCGATTTTCTCACCGGTTCAACTCGGCATCGCTGCCGAAAATAATCCAAATATGGGACATAGACCGAAGGAATTCAACGCCCACCTCGGCTTCAATAAACAATGAACATCATGCATTGAACATCTCGCTCACCCGGTGGACTCGTGATGGTGCACCACCTCTTCTCAGCTGGTGGTCCCAATGTTCCTGCCGCAGCAGTGGCGCAGCATTTTACCTGTGCCCCATTAAGAGCTGAGCGCTGAATCCAGGTACTTTTTTCTCTCCATTCTTCCGCTCCTATCTGCCGTCCTCGCCATGTTCGCTTCCACCGTTCCTGTTTCGAAGCGCCAAGTCTTGGGAATGGTCAGCATGCTTGCCCTACAAGCTCCGGACAGGCATGAACACTAGTTTTGATGTGCTGGAGGAGTAGGCACGCGAAGTCGCATTATTTTTCGTCAGCTCTTCACACTTCTTTGTCGCTAATAGCGGATCTTTATTTAGAAAGAAGATAAACCATCCGACTGAGTGATCTTGTCGCTCCAGTGTTCTTGACTCCCAGGACCTTTATTACTTTGATCCCCAGATAGTTCATGACCTCAATTCAACAGGTGCTGCTATGAGGTATGTTTCCGAATTTTGAAGTATGCACTAGCTGGATGTTTGCATATTTTTAGACAACCTCATACCCCAAAATGGGCGCTGGCCAACGTTCTTGTGGGATATGCCTATTTGTGCATAGGAAGCCTTGACGTTGGAGCATCCGTATCTCTCGCAAGCTCGCTGTTCTATCGGCATGTTCTGGCTTTTGGGCTGGCGGAGTGTTAATAGGTGCGACTGTTATTGGCAACATATACAACGTCGAGCGGCGAGGTACTGCTGTATATATTTTCTTTGGGGGTACATGTACTTTCATTTGATAATGTTTCGACGACTTATCACTTTTGTTATAGGTTTATCTTCTGAGCATCGCACTGCCATCCATTACGGGAGGCACTGCAGCCCACTACCGGTCATGGCGCAGCCTGCACTTCTCGCTTGGAGTATGGGGCATTACCAAGATGGTTCTAATATATATGTTCTTCCGGAGATAAGCTATTCGCATTCGAGAGGGACTCGTGAGGTCAGAATTCAACTTCAATCAACATCTGGTTCCAGGAAGCTCGATTACATGTCTCTAACGAGACACTGATTAGTGCGTGCTTCTCCCCAGTGGACTCTGGAACTTCAGAATATACACGTTCTGTTATTGGAGTGCGTTGTCGCACAATCACTGGGCGATTGTCCGAACACAAGACGTTATTCATGCTCGCGGACTCAGGTCTCCAACCTCCTTGCGAACTTGGTTCTGCCGCCGGCTTTCATTCATTGTCTATAACGTTTCAAAGCATCACTGCAAGCTCATCTCCCTAGCGCCCAGCCGTCGCCGCCTGCTGTCGTGACTCTACCTGGGCCTTTCAACAATAACAAATGCCAAGGTCGGGCTACGTCTCCCATTGCTGACCGCAACATTTCCCTCGGTAATGAAGGAATAGGACGACGTAGATTTTTCGGGAGATCAAACGGCCAGTGACGTGTTTCACTTCACGCTGGGCGCAGACCAGGAGAAATCAACTGTATTGGAGGTACAAATACCTGGGAATGCGAAATGCTGAATATGTGAGATAGCGCGCAGAAAATAAAGGTCAATGTCAATCTCGTCATGCCGACAAGACCAAAACACGATATGATGTGGTTGCAAGTTTGAAACTACGAAGACTGCGCTCCCGGGTGTTCTTCAGGGCGAGACGGGCCTGCCTCTGGCTGGGACCGACTGGCCATCGGTTTCAACCATATTGCTGATACTGATCGATCAATTCCTTGTTTTCTTGGCCGGAGATTACTGACCGGCAGAGAAATAAGCCTGCGACTCGACTATGAGCGCATCTATAAGTTTTTTTTACACGCGGTCCTCGATCTACTTTGCACTTGCTCTTGCAAAAATCAAGTCGTCATTCCACGCTTGGACACGGGCATAGACTTGATCTATTTAGTAGATGCTTTTAACTGTCAGTACTGTACTGACACCACCCAGGCTTCCGTAACACAATGGCTTAAGCACTAAGAACGTCAAAGCTTTCAAATCAGTACTCGTCACATAGATCTTCGACGTCGGCGTCTGGAACTTTGAAGTTGAGCAATATACAATATCTTAATTGCTTTCAGATAGACTACAATATGCAGGACAGTAATTCATTTTATAATATGCAAAACGCAAGGCGCATTTAACAGGCATAAGCATAAACGATACAACCCCGATACAGCTACAACCTCAACTATGTTCAGCCTGGCTCGCCATCGTTACCACCTCCATAAGCACAGTCTGCCGCTCAACCGTGAGCATCGTGGTCGCCGCCTGGTATAAAGCGCTGTTTTGATTCTGGAATGCTGTGGGGCGTTTATTGTAAGCAATGAACAGGATAAAAACACCGATATAATGAACGATGAGCAACGGACGCACTTTGTAATGCTTGCTTGAAGGTAACGTATGGGTCGATGCTATCGAGCAGACTGAAAAACCCGAGTTCTTCTTCGATCTCTGATTCTTCAGATGTGTCCGACTCGTCGTCTCCTGTTTCTGCTTTCTCAGATTTTTCTCTCAGACGAGCACCCTAGAATGTTCATGTAAGCCGTAAGCTGCAAGTATAAAATTGGGACACACCTCCTTCGCCAGAATCTCAAGATACGCGGAATCTTCATCCCAGACGTCCTCTAAACACAAGCATGAGCAGTCAGAACAAGGAAGGAACCAATGCGCACTTACCATCTTCCTCTCCCTCAAGATTGAGATATCTAGTCTCATCCTCATCTTCATCATCGTCCCCTTCAACCAGCTCATCCTCCAACACCTTGCGCTCTACAAAAACACACCATTAGTCAAATCACTGACAACACTGACAACACACAACTCACTCGCAACAGCCTGAGGCAGCGTCTTGAATATATTCAGAGCACCGCCCACAATCCCAGGCCACCCATCTCTCAATGCCTCAGGAATCGCACCAGCCTCCATCTCCAACAACTTGCAGAGCGCTAAGATGCTCAGCTTCTTGTCGTGCACGCGCGGGAGCTTGGTGTCGCTGTTGATCGCGACGAACCAACGATCGAAGAATGTGCGCGAGAACCCTGGCTTGTAGCCCTCCATGAAGTGAAGCGCCGCAGAGGCGTTGTAGAGCACGGCGTTGACGAGAATCTCGAGGTTAGCAAGGCGGAATGAAGCGGTTTCGCCTTTGTCAATGTGGTCTGCAGCGATCACGATGATGTCTTGGAGTTGCTGCACAATCACAATGAGAAGGAGTCGTAGGTGAGATACAAATGGGAATACGTACGTCGTCAACGTGGCCGTGCAAGTTGAGGAGCATCGACTCTGCCAGCTTGCACCCATTAATCTTGTCGTTGTCACCCAGCTGTGGGCTGGTCATAGCCGTGCGGTACATGTCCAGCACCTTCTTCCTGTAGTCAGGGCGTGCCTTCAACACATCCGTACCATACGACACGAAGTTGTCCAGCGAGGGGAGCATTTCTACAAAGCACCATGTCGATGAGTGACACAAGCACAAATATGCGTGGGAAGTAGTAAGCCGCACCATCAAGGAAATCAACTGCATCGCTCTTGAAGAGATCATAAGTCAACTCAAACACTGGCCACATGTTCGGTGATATTGCGTGAAGACGGAAAGTAAGGGCGTCTACGAGGTCATACATATTATCAAACAAATCTGCAAACGCCACTATTAGCAGTGCCTCTCAAGCCAAAAAAAAATAATATGGAGCAGACGAACCGATCAACTTATTCTCAAGGGTGAACCGAATGATAGGTATAATCACCTCCTGCACCTGCGACAGAATCTCGGGCGAGGATTCAATGCACGAAACAACCTGCGCAGCCCTATCAGATGCGCTGAATAAACAATCAAATGCGAATACACGCACAGTCCCAATGGTTTTAGCGACGCCCATAGCACCGTACACTTTATCATCGTCGCCATCCGACACGAGTGACTCCACATCGATGCTATCCGGAACAGCTTCATTTTGCTGTGCTAGACCCTCTCTTGCAAGGCGCAAGTAAGATTCACACTATATACATACCGTCAGCGTATCATAGGGCGTAAGGGATAGGTGCTCACCAGACGTGCGGTGAGTTGCGAAGCCACAGGCAAAAGCTCGTTTTGGAAGCGGTCGACCATAGATTCCATGCTGTGATTAAGGATATCGAGGTCCGTCTCATCGGAGAGCTTGAGAAGATCTGCGACAACAACCATCGAAATAAATGAGTGCGTCAGTGGATTTGAGCACGAGACGCACCTTGCACGACCTTGCCGACTTGCGGAGAGACAGCGTCCCTGACTATTAAATCAAAGTTAGTGTGGACGCAACTTAGTATGAGCAGCGATTGTCGACGCACCAGAGTCGTGTATGACAACCAGCTCGGTGATTGCCAGTGCAGCCTGCACGCGTACGGGGAGTTCGTGATCATCCAGGGCCAACGCCACAGCACGGGAGTGGCTGTTCAAGTTCTGAGCAGAATGTATCAGCACAAGAACAACACCAACGCTTGTAGAAATGCCCACCTCTTCACTAGCCCATGAGATACCGGCCTTGGTCACCACACCTAGCACCTCACATGCCTGAATCGCGTCAGCTGAAGGGGATGAAGACAGAGAGAAGAAAACTAGACTTACGACACTCCGCAAGTACGCTTCTTGCGATGTGAACTCGGGCAGGACGTACTGAACCATGAATTGTTCAATGCTTCCCTTGACATCGGGATGGCGGACGATGAACGGGCCGAGGACTGACATCATCGTAAGTGCGCCGAAGCGCTGGGCCGGTGTGGGATTTCTGTATGGTATTCTTGTGAGTTGCAGGATGTAGTAGAAGTACCAGGGACGCACGAGCGCAAAACCGTGTTGATAAACTGGAGCATCGGGAGGAAGGACGTTTTGGTGCGGTTGCTTGCGAGAGAGAGGAGGAACGAGGTTGCGCCACTGACGGGGGACGAAAAGTTTTCATACTCGTCTGGCATGTAAATAAGATATGGAAATGCAAAACAGAAACCAGATAAACGTACCGACACTAGCACGGACGTACTCTACAGGATCGGCCTCCCACATGGCTTGTTTGGACGCGTTAAAAGTAAGTTGGGGGAATGCAAAGTTAGCCACGAGGCTGTCGACGTGGGGCTTCAACAGTATCCACGTCGACTTCGGCTTGATACTGCACAGAAATACATCAGCTTAACTTAAGAACGAGGAACTGAGATATTATGTGCACCATTCAGTGAAAAACTGGAAGATCTGGTATTGACATTTCTTGCCCAGCCATGCCTGTCCCGAGACGTATAGCTCGACTTGGTGGAGATACACCTTGAAGATTTCGGGAGCGAAGGCAGTCACGAAATTGTCTGCAAACGCGCCATACTCCTTCTGCATCGGTGATGGAAGCTGAGAGGGATTTCCGAAGCTAAAAGGCTCTCAGAAACACGCGGACAGAATCTTGAATGAAAATACAGACCGATGGAATAGTCGACCAAGGATTCCATAAGCCCACTTCTTGGCCTTCCACCATTCACATCTCTCCCGGTCTTCCTCGTCAGTTGGAACGCCTTCCACTGGAACAATCAGATCCACGATGCGGAACAAGAGTCTTCCCCATGGAACGAGTGATTCTGGGCTCTGCTGGTGTGGAGAAAGGTTAACAATAATCGCAGTTTTGTAAGTCTTCAGAATAAGGTGCAGCATGGCTGGGATCTCCTGGGACGCGGGTTGGGATGGGGAGGTGTTGAGCATGCCATCAGCGATAGTGACAAGCGTAGGGAAAAGGGTGGCAATAATGCCGGGCAAGATGTCGGCTTTTTGGCGGAATCTGCGCGTTTTTAGAGCGATATGAAAGATAACACAATGGAACACACACCTGAACGCTCTAACGCACTCGAGTGCGGCCACGACACCAGCTCCAACTTCTCTGACGTCTCCGCTTCCCAAGAGCCTTTTCACGTCGTCTAAAAGAGTTGACCAGCGATCGGGGAAGTCATGAGCCACAAGGTCCTTGAGGGTCGCTGCGAGTTGGACGGTGATGGATCGGCTAGGACTTGCAGCGAGAAGAGGAAGAATGCTGGCTTTTAAAGCGGTGCGGTCGGACTGAGCGATTGGAACGTGGTCCGGGCGGGGATTTGGCGGAAGGATGTAGGAGGTATGTACGCGATTCTTGAGGTAAACGCTGCAAGCTTGGCGAGTAGCTCTGGTGTGAGGTTAATATGATAAGTATCGTGAAACCATTTGCAGAAGGATGAGACGTACAACTCAACGCCGTCAGATGCGATGATCTGCAGAAGGGCAGTGAGCATGCCCTCCTGTGCACCGATCTGCAGGGGCGATCAGCGCCATGATTGCATGCTAAATGAAACAAGATATTACCTTGCGTATTTGGAGCTCGCCGGTCTTTTGCACATTAGGATCAGGGTTGTAAGTCGTTGCGAACAAGTTCGCGAGTGATTGAAGATCCATCTGTGCACGATCCATGATGATGATCAAGTCGGTGTTTTTCACGTTAAAATCAACTTATAGACCAGGATTAAAGCACAGACCTCAGGCAGGTATAGGAAAAGAAAGAGAAACAAACAAAGGATGAATGGTCGTGAAAGTCGTTTACAAAGGTAGCACGAGAGCCTCGCCAGAAAAATTGAGATTAAACACGCGGCAGCGCGTTTGGTGTTTGACCTAATTGATAAGATTACATTATGTACATGCGCGCATCTCCTCAGGCTTGTACAACAACTACCAGCATCTTGATCCCAATGAACTACTCTAATAGGCTGATGTACTACGCAGTCAAAACGACCAATTTGCGGTAAGGTGTTTTATCACGTTGGATTGGCAGAGAATTTCAAAGATTCACTGATTAGCGCCCATCCATAGTAGTTCACTTTGGAAAAATCTAAGGCGTTGCGTGTCTGGAACTCCCTAGACTTGTGACAGTAACTGGCAATCTCATGACAAAAGTTCCTTGGATAATAAAAACGCACCAGGGGCCCAACACCTCTGGCCCACGCTCGTTCAACGAATGACATGCACATATGTAGCTTCCCATAATCACTATACGACTGACTCTTACCACAGCGCGGTGGTAGTAGTAGTGCATGATTTATTCCCTCGAGTCCCAATCGAGTCCTGACATATTTCCTAGGACACACCGTCACCGTGAGTACGTGACTGGCATTAGGCAGATCCGGTGTCCTTTTCACAGCGCGTTCTTTTCACAGCGAGGGAGACTCGGAACTCCATCTATCCCAAGATGCGCCTGGCCCGTTTGTGGGAGCACGAAACTTTCAACAGACGGACGGGCCTTGTTATGACACGCTGTTGGCCATGGTCAGGCAGAACGTTAGTCTCACATGCCCTGGCATTAGCCATGGTACGCAGTTCACCTTCAAGTTTCAATTTTCTTGGTCACTAATTGCGGTCTTGGCCGTGTGAGGCTGTGAGTTTTTTTGGTGCGTCGATTCCGCTACAGCGATGAGCTAGACATGATGCTGTCGAGCACAGGTGGGAGGTAAATCCGATAACAAGATAGTAGCCCGCCTAGTACTACTCCTAGCTCGTATAGTAAGCCAAGGGTCTACAATCAGACATCTTGTGTACGAGTCAAGACAAAAACCTATTGGAGCATGTCAGAGGTAGCGAAGGTTCGAAAACGATGCGAAATAGCACTGGCCATGGGTGTTCTTCAATCGCCAAATGTAGATGGCCAGTCATTGACGTCGATGCAATTTCTGGACCCTGGTATAGATTTAATGGATCAATAACTTTATTGTACCTGAAAGTGTGTATGGAAAAGCCGAAGATATCTTCCGCAGATTCGTCGGCCGCAAGCTCATCGTCATAGACTGACAGTGGCAGATCCGGCTTCTTCGCCTTTTTCTGGAACCAGCTAAGGAAAAAAGAGCGCGTATGGTCGTTTCCCGTCGTCCACACCAACAGCATCAGATTCACACTGGCGAAGGACGCAATTATATCTCACGAACTCGATAGAATTGCGGAGAGTACACATCTTGCTTGTCCGAGAGAACGTCAACAACTTCGGGGGCCTTTCGTTTCGGTTGACGCTGCTTTTTCTTCCCCTTTTTGTCTGACGACGGCCTAATGCGATTGAAAACGTCGTGACACCATGCAGGCGAGAAGATGAAGGGATTTCTGATTCTGATTCACTGCATCCATAAAGTGCGGAGCGAATAACTTTCATGAGGGGCCTGACCAGGAATCTACGACTAATGATAGTATCTGTGAAAACAATGAATCGATGACTGTGAAACTGGCACGTACATGAAGAAGGACTTGGTATTTTGATTGAGAGTGAATTTATGTCCAATGTTACGGGGGGGCCGCCTTTTGTTTGCCCCATGAAGGACCAGTCTGAAATGGAAGCACATGGCGTAGAGTAATATAACAGTGTGGAGGAGTTAAATACCTCGTTCTTCAGTTCCTCAGCTGGAGGCAGGCTAGGCGCCAGGAGGTCCGATGCCTCATAATTTAAGTGCAACAACACGCAACCGTGCAGTCGAACACGAAGACTTGACAATTTGCATTCAAGACCAGAAAGCATGTTGCCGGCACCCTCAGGGAGCTAGGGCGTGGTAATGTGATATCGTTGGTGCGGTCCTCGGACAGCACTAAACTCTACCATTCCGCCTGTCGCAGACGGTCGCCATTCTATCACCAGTCGGAATTGTAATCAGAGTAGTGATAATCCATGCTAAGAAACTCAGACCAGGGTGTAAATTGAAACATGGTTGAACGTTAGGTGAATTTTGCAAGGGTGGACTGTCTCAGATTAAAAAGGAAATTCTTGGAAGCTTTTGGACAACAGACCAAAACAACGCCTCCCGCTTTGACTTTGATCTCATTCAAGTCGGTCACTTACCGGTTGGCTCTCGTCCCTGATAGAAATCTGGCACAGCGTAATGCTTGTGTATTTGTGAAAAATACACAAGCATCACGTTATGCACGTACTTTCATCATGCCTTTGACACAGTCGTGATAACCAAAGCGACACGTCACGGTGACTCTGGATCGTTGATATCCGACTGGCTCAAGCTGATATGTGATGTTTCTTTGTTTTCTTCGTCCGAAGTATCGCTGTTAACCTCTAGGACAGGGCAGCATTGCTGTCTCATCTCGTAATATTGTGGGCTGCATGCTCTATTACATCGCCAGTCACTGGCTCATCTGCATATAAACGGTGATGTCATACCGATATCACGGTGAAAAATCTGTCTGACAGTATTGCGGTGCTTTTAGTACATTATGCCCTCCCATTCTGACGTAAAAGGCAAGAATTTCATTGGGTCTCGCGATACGACGGGTGCGAAATTTTGGAGGTATGTGTTTTTGCACGTTAACAAATAAATAAAAATGCGACTAACCCCCATATTTTCCAGGCTTCTGTGATGCTATGTGCTTTCACATCTGGTGTTTATCTACCTAGCAAATTTCAGCTATCATGTATCGACTGCGCTTGTGCTCGAATTCACTTCCCGCTGCCAAACCACGCTGTACCCGTGGTAGAATCTGCCATGACTACTATACTGGGCGGGAGCGAAAATGCCATTGTTCCGATCCTTGGAACCTTATCAATGTCATATCTACGAGTGAAGAAGAACCAATAATTACTACATCAAATCATTGTTGCATGCGGAGTGCATAAAATCAGTAAGTTCCGTGCGGAATTTACCGATGGCTACGGTGTGTTTCCTCGGCGAAGCAACCCCAGAAAACAACTTTTTTGCGTGTTGTCGAGACAGAGATTACGTCATTCAAATCTGGCGTCGAGTTTGTTCTTTCCTTCACTTTCTCCATCGTCGTCTTTGCTTGTAAAATCTTCATATCCTAACAATTTCTTCCGCCCTTCGCCCGATTTATAATATTTTTCGAACAACTATGGATTCAAGGAAAAGGTCGGCGTTTAATCTAGAGTTGGGTGATGCAGGTCAACTCATAATTTCCTAGCAGGCCTATCCCCGGGTCGTATCAACCTCATGCATACGCGAGCAACCCCCTTGGATTGTTCGACCAGTATGGATTCCAACAGCCACCCCATTTTCCTGGGCATCGCGCCCCTACTCCATCCACAGTCCTGGATATTGTTGATGAAAACGATGATGTGTTCCAAATTTGGTGGGAATCGTAAGTTGTTGCGCCTTCTTCAAATATTTACATCAAACTCACCATCTTGGACAGATTTTCTGCACCGTACGATGATGGCATAGCGCCAAATTGTTATATTTCCTCATCAAATGCACAGTACGAACACTATGCTGAGCTCGTCGGTGACGAGGGTGCCCCGGCAGGAACAGCTGCTCAATTCACCTTGGCCGAGCAGCTCACGTCCGACCATGGGACACTGCATCATGTCCCCCATATGGCGGAGCAAGGGTACGTGCCACCCGGATTGATTGCTTACAGTGCTTTATCTATCTCTCCAGGACTTCATATTATGTCCCCATTACTGTGGCGCAGTTTCCGACACTGGCTACATTCGATTTTCACGTCCCTCACCCTCCGCGGCCCCAGAAAATCAACTATAATAATTACCTGGAGCCGGCTTCTAACGGCGGATGTCCTGACGCCATGCCATTCCCCAATGCGACGCGCGAGATAGAGGTTCCCCCGTTCATTCCTGCGAACTCCGCCCCTGACGAACCTGAACATCTGACTTGGACCGCCAATGTAAAGCCCGAGTCCTATGCTCTCGAGTACGACCAAACCGTCGCAGCTCCCAAGCGCACAGCCGCCGAAGGTAGCTCGAGGGGGCGCAAACGTAGACGGGTGGGGAGTAACACCCATGGAACGTTTGGCGAGTACGCCGTAGCTGACGTGACGGCAACCGTGATGCACAAGCCGTCCATCGACCCCCGCCACATACACACTGGCGGACGCAGGACTCGCGACTCAAAGGGCGAGATCCTTCGCACCAGAAAGCATGGTGCGATGGAGATCGACGATTCGTGCACCAGTGCCGCTGCCGCCAAGGACCTCCCTGCGGGAATGGCGTGTGTACGCCAATGCGAGTGGGGCGATTCACCTTGTGGGCTATATGTCGAGTTCAACAAGAACGTCGTCAGCAAACATCTATTCGAGTGGCATGGCGTTAATAATAGTAAGGGGGCTCGCTGCAAGTTCGAGGGCTGCTCCGCCGCGAATAAAACAATGAAGAATTTGGGCCGCCACATTGCGACGGTCCACCTTGACGTGACCTGGCAATGCTGTTATTGTCGTGTGGTGTGGTCGAGGTCTGATGCCGCGAAGCGGCATTATCCGACTTGCGATTCGTACAAGGCCGCAAAAGAGCTGGCAGGTGACAGGTTCAAACTTGAACCCACGAAGATGATCCGCAAAGGATACATCGTCCCTGCCCACGGCACCACGTCAGACGAGATTTGAGAATGGCTGACGAGTCCCTGTTTATTATGGGCAGGAACTGGCTGGTGTTACCCGCATTCAGCATTTCCAACATGATTGTTCCAGTAGAAATATATTGGTTTTCATTACTGTTCGAGCCGTAGATAAACTGTGGTTTGAACATTGTCCAGACAAGTAGCAAATCGCTTGAATAAACAGCATGACGAAAACATTGCCCAGATCTACGTTCGAAAATCTACTTCGAAACACCAATAAGCTAGATCAATACCAAGATGAAAGTGAGAATAAATAAAAACGAATTCTTCTGCTCCCTATAAACCAACCAACTATTACCATCCAGCAAGCATCTCCCGTGCTACACGCCACTGCCAGTCGATATATGGACGTGCTCCCGGAAAGCGATCGAAGTCATGCCAATTGCTGTAACGGAGTCGGCCATGAGCTTGGCATGATATTCGCGGACGCTAAGGATCAAGCGTGGTCCCAGCACAAAGGACTGTATGGCTGTCAAAATCTGAAGACCACCAAAAAGGATGTGAGCTTCCGAGGAAAATTGGTCCTGTAAAAATGATGAGCAGTGCTCGCATGCTGAGGTCAGGGAAATATTGCCATACCGCGGAGATCGTTAGAGACTGATCAACAATGAGGTACAAGGAAGACGTGGCAACACAGCTAGCACGCACGTTCAATCATTCAGCGAAAGAAAGGAATGAGATTCACAATGTGAGCTCACCTCGCAAAGTAAAGCACGTGGGATTTTATCAATACCTTCAAACAGCCCCCGATAATTCCTCCTGCCGGCAGTTCACGGAAATGTTTCGCGGCGATCCAGACTGCGAGACACAGTGCGAGGACCTCCCAGACAGTGCTGAGTATCCAAGTAACGGAATTCAGAAGTAAGATATAATCCGCAATGTCAATCGTGCACTGATAGGTGCCAGAGAGAATGAGTTCCTCTGGTATTCCTCAATAAGCCACATGCACGTTCTTCATTCACAATTAAGCGTACCCCCCGAAGAAAGCCTCGTTATCATCACGGCGACCACTCCAACGAAAATGTTGACAGCCAAGCATGATACGACGAGAAATATCAGGATCCTTCTGGATCGTTGATACATGGCATGTATCCGAGCGATCATGATGACTTGCAACGTATTTCAGCCAAGTCCAAATCACAGGTCTTGCAACTGCATAACTCACCACACAACATTGGGAATGCGACAACATTCGTCCAATCCGATATGAGGTATAGTTTCTGGCCTGAGGCATCCAGTCAGTGATCAGCCTCAGGTGGACCACACACTCCAAACCGACTCACATCTGTGAAAGTCATGAGAGTGAATCAAGACGCTGGTCAAGAATCACGCTCACCCCTACAGGGCGTAGAGCTGGGGTCAATTGGAGGAGAATATCAGGCATCAGTGCAGAAGACTCACTGCATTTGTCAACCACACTGTTGGAATATTGACTGTATACAGCTGGTCAGAAGAAACAAACATGGTGGATGCGAGAAGACATACACAGTATGCCCAGGCTGATTGCGATAGATAGATTATTAGCACAAAACCAACTGTTTTGCCTTCTGAACGTACATGGCAAATAATAGTCCAAGATAGCGCACCTAGGATATTGGCATTGTCAAGTCAGCACAACTTCACAACAGGCAAGATACATACACTCAAATAGAGGACGGTCATAAGGGACCAACGTTGCCTCTGTCGCAAATCAATGTTGTTCTTCTGACGTGAAATTCTGCTCACCCAGACCAGTTCGACCTAAAAAAAAAATTCTTAGCGAGATGACTGCTCCGGTCATAGCATCGACAAACCTCTTGTCCGAACGTAAGGGCTGGAATTACTTGTAGGACATCAACAATTCACTAATGTTATTATGCTCACCCCAATCATATGTCACTCCAACGCCAGCGGCAACTGAGAAACCGCAGTCAAGGTTAGATTGAAACATCAGCGTTAACATCTGACTGCTCTTCACGAACCTGTAAAATAGCTGGAAATCCGCCAAGAATTGATGGACGGCCAATAACTAGGGTCGTCTGAGACTAGGGTCATACTGTTAGATGTGAGGGAGCGGGGAACTCTGTGGACATACGACGATGGAATTCGTGCTAGATATCCAACGCTTGGATCATTCGGAAGTGACGCCAATCGGGCCTTGAATGAATAAAATGCCGGTGATAGGTACCGTGATGCGAATTCAGAAGTGATCGGATGAATTATTGACAGTGTGTTAAGGTACTACGTGCTAGTGCGGCAGTGTTTTCCAGCACTAGGGGTACTAGTGTCGTTGATTTTCTAGTGCATCACTTCCAAAAGAATCGAACGAGTTGAACTCCGCCTGTCCGGATCCGGATGGGCGGTTACGGATACGTGACACGATATCTCGTGAGCCAATAACGCCCGTGATTACATACCAGCACCCCAGAACTCCGACTAACGATCAAGATTCGAGAACACAAGGCCTCCTGAGCATGTGGGAAAGCTTCTTTTGCATTTGAGAATGAGATACGTACCGCCAGACCGAGTCTCATTTTGTGCTTATGACTCATGGTGCCAGAGTTGGTCTTATGGATTGTGCTGGCGGTGAAGTTTTTTCACGGGTCGGCTTTGCAGGCGTTCCAAATACCATTGACATTGCTCGTGGCCGTAGGCGTCTTGTGTATCAAGTTCTAACCTGCCCTCGTGATCACATATGGGCATCGAGCAGTACTCGCGGTTCGGTCTGTTGTTTTCACCTGTGGTAGCACACCGGCAAGGCGGGATATCCGATATATATCGCAGGCACGGGTTCCGCAAGGTGGTGCTAATACTGGTTTATTACACTGTTCATTCACCCGCTTCCCCTAGCTCCCTGCGTGTGCTCATAAATGGTCCGCAGCGCGCGTCCGTGACTGCTCCCCAGAATTCGCAATCTGGGAAGTGTGGTCCTTGTAATGGCACCGCTGGTGCATCTACTCAACGCAAATTAATGAGCACACTGCGACCAGTTTCCAAGTCTCAGCCTCGCGTCCCCGCTAGTTCCGCACAACAACCAACAAAAAAAAAACCACACTCAGGGATCCGCCGAGAAGATCTACCGAACGGCAGCCAGCATTGCTTCCGCGAGGACTTGACACCCTTGACATCGTCTCCACCCTCGAAAACCCTTGACATGTTGCTAACCTTATTGATGTTATGCAATAGTGTAATGAACGTGGCATTCACGGACATCGCCAAATACATTAGCTTCCTTGTTCCATCAGTTTCAGACATACATGGCGATAAAGAGACTGTAAAATGTTATCCGTTCATGCGGCAGGAAGCGAAAATCATCATGGACGAAGACGACGTATCGAACACATGGTAGGTACACCAGTGTTCTACGGGCGTCATATCATTTTTGAGATTATTTAGGAAACGAAGGGCACATTCTCGTCTGGTTTCTCACGCCCTTGCGCTCTACCTGGAGATCAGAAAAATTATTCCACAAGCGTGGCGGCAGTCAGTGCATAGCGCTATTGAGAAACGACAGGCTTATTGAGGTAGTTACGAGGACGAGAGCGCCATGAGGATGATCTGTACTGTTTGTGAGGTGGAGCATGCGCTGAGGATGTACTCAAGCGGTGTTTATGTCAAGCTCCAAAACCATCTCGGGACTAGGTTCTCGCAGAAGCATTGGGGTGTTATGACAGATAATGTGATTATTTCTGTTAAAAAGCTACTTCACGGGGATGGAAGAAAATCATCAAGGCCTCTATGTCTTACAACTGAACTCGCAAAACACGCCATATTTGCGTACAGCACCTGAAAAAGCCCGCGAGGGACCGAATGCTTATACACAAATGCATTGTGTAGATGTGGACGACACATATTGGATCCCGTCGAAGAACAATGAGGACGAGCTGGCGTTGAATGGTGATACGGAAGGCAGTCTCGCTCGCAGAATGGACCGTGCATCACGTTGTTGAAAAGCGGAAGTCTTGAATGCTAACAGGACCTGTAAATACCACTGCAGATCAACGCGTGGAGCGGGGTGCTACAATGACCTCCGCATTGTGTTCCTCCAGTCCAATTCCACAGAAGAAATCGAGCGGTCAGCATGCGCGTTTTTCGAGGAGATAGTTGACTGTGGATAGAATTTGCTTTTGGCCAGCGATGCTGAGCGGTGTTCGTCCTGCGGAATCTCGATTTCCAGCATCATGTCCAGCATCAATGAGGGCTCGCACGGTCTGGAATCGGCAGTCTATACAGGGAGCAGGTACATCACTATTGAGCACGAGATGTGGATAGATTACAGTTTAAACAATGTCCAGACCAATAGCATATCACTTAAATAAATAATATAACGAAAAAAATTGCCCAGACCTATGTCTGAAAAATCTAATTCGGAACGCCAATAAATTAGATCAATACCAAGACGAAAGTGGGAATAAATAAAAACGAATTCTCCTGCTCCCTACAAAGTACCAGCCAACTGTTACTTTCATCGAGCATCTCCCGTGCTACACGCCACTGTCGGTCGAGATATGTACGCGCTCTTGGAAAGCGATTGAAGTCATGCCGGCTGCTGCATCGGAGTCGGCCACGAGTTTGGCGTAATATTCGCGAACGCTAAGGATCAAGCGTGGTCCCAGCACAAAGAACTGTATGACTGTCAAAATCTGAAGAACAGCAGTTTCCGAGAAAAATAGGTCCTATAGAAATGATGAAACATGGTCGCGTGCAGAGGTCAATGAAAGACTGGCATACTCCTATGATCGTTTAAGCAAGAAACAGCAAAAAAGCTAGCGCGTTCAATCATTCAGCGGAAAAAGGGAACCATATTCACGATATGAGCTCACCTTGCAAAGTAAAGCACGTGGTATTTTATCAACACCGTGAAACAGCCCCCTATAATCCCTCCTGCCGAATGTTGTCGGAGTTCACGGAAGTGTTTTACAGCAATTCAGACTGCGAGACACAGTGCGAGGACCTCCCAAACGGTGGCAAGTATCCAAGTAACGGAACTAAGAAGTACGGCATCATCAACAATGTCAATCGCGCACTGATAGGTGCCAGAGAGAATGAGTTCCTCTGGTATTCATCAATAAGCGCCATGCACGTTCTTCATTCACAATTAAGTGTACCCCCTGAAGAAAGCCTCGTTATCATCACGGCGACCACTCCATCGAAAATGTTGACAGCCAAGCATACAAGGAGGAGTAATATTGCGATCCTTCTGGATCGTTGATACATGGCATGTAACCGAGCGATCATGATGACTTGCAAGATGTTTCAGTCAAGTCAATATCACAGGTCTTGCAACTGTGCAGCTCACCACACAGCATTGGAAACGCCACAACACTTGTCCAATCCCGTACGAGGTACACAATCCAGCCTGAGGAATCCAGTTAGTGATCAGACTCGGGAAGATCACACACTCCAAACAGACTCACATCTGTGGCAGTCATTATAGCGAACGAAGCCGCTCCGTTCATAATATCAACATACCTCTTGTCCAAACGCGAGGGCTGAAAATACTTGTAGGAAATCAGCGATTCTCTGATGTTATCATGCTCACCCCAATCATACGTCACCCCAACGCCAGCAGCAACTGCAAAACCGCAGCCAAGGTTAGATTGAGACATCAGCGTACACATCTGACTGCTCTCCACGAACCTGCAAAATAGCTAGAAATACGCCAACAATTGATGGACGGCCAATTACTAGGATCATCTGAGACTATTGTCATATTGTCAGAGGATGGATGTGAGGGAGCGGGGAACTTGATGGACACATACGACGATGACATTAATCGTGCTAGACATACCACGTATTGGCGCGGTAGTGTCCCCACACTGCAACACCCGAGGCACTAGTACTAGTAGATCTCTTGTATCATTGTTTTCTAATAATAGCGTCACCTACACCTCAACAACCTGGCGTGTCCACGAAACGACGGCATTTCAAACTCGCCCGTCGTTAGGTTTTTCTATCGATAGAGCGGTGCAGCTCAAGAGCCTGAATGCCTTTGACGGAGCCTAGCGGCTTCAGCAAGTATGGTTGGCTGGATCTTGAGTATGGCTGATATGGTCCACAAAATGCAGTACAGTTTCTGAGTTCTCGAATCGAGCAAAATTCAAAATGTTTGACATTGTAAACAAGTGTAAACAAACTTCAGCAAACTCGTGTTAGCTTCACCAATCGTCCAAGTAACTGCTGCGAAACCTTATGCCTGTCCAACTCCACGATGCGATCCGAAAATGCTGCGCCCACCACAACTAGCATGTGTGGGATTTGAACCAGTAGATCATTGCCTCTTTAGGCACAGGCTGGTAAGTGGCACTAGTACTGGCTGTCCGCCCACACTTGCACCAGACGAAAAACTGAGACCGTGTATGTAGCGCATTCACTGTCTTTGCTTCTTCTGACCTGGCATACAGTAAATGGATAAACCGGTCATTCAAGAATTTATATTCATCATACTCGATATGAGGCTGCCTATCCGGACGATCCTGCGGAAATTGAGCAGGCAGAAGAGAGTTGATTGTGTCATAGGAGGTCTATTTTTTTTTTCAACGTGAATACTGACGATGCGGACCAACTTGCTGTTAAGAAACTTTTCAGGCGCAGATAGCCACGACAGCTTACCCCTGCTTGCTATATATCACACATCCGTCATTTTCTTTCCGTGGTTCTAACATAACAAGTTCACATCGTGTCGTCCTGCAAACAACCTACGTTGTCGTGCAAGTAGACCGAAGTCCCCGCCGATAGCCTTCTTGCGTCCCTTGACTTGTGCTTCAGAGTTGGGCTTATGGATGGTGCTGGTGATGAAGTTTTTTCGAGGTCGGCTTTGCTGGCGTTCCAAATATCATCGACATCGCTCGTAGCCGTGGCGTCAAGTTGTGTATTAAATTCTATCCTGCCCTCGTGAAGTCGAGCAGTACTCGCGGCTCGGTCTGCTAATTTCCGGCAAGGCGGGATATATATCGTAGGCACGGGCTCTGCAAGGTGGTGCTAATATTGGTTCATTCGCCTGCTTCCCTTAGCTCGCTCTCAACTGAGCTTCATCCAGCCCTCCTATCCCTACTTACTGTCTCTTCCTACCACTCATTCCGCCTACTACTCGCCCTATCTTCGATCCTCTTTGTCTTTGCATCATCATGCTCGGGAGCTGGGAACAATCCATCAAAATTAAAAGTGGGCCACTTTATGTCACCCTTGTATTCGTTTTGTGATCCTCACGCTCTATCTGCAGTCATCAGCGGAGAAATCCAACTTGCCGAATAGTGCTCAATTTCTTTCCCCTGAGCCATCAAGACCGTCTCGGCGGCCTTTGCAACCTTGCACAGACACTGGAAGAACGCTTCAAACAACGTAACAGAATTGATGATATAGACGAGACCATACAACTTCGTCGTTAAGTCCTGTCTCTGTGCCCCAAGGGACATCCCGATCGTGGTTTCGGCTTGAATAGCTTGGCCCTATCACTCGGTCACTATCGTTTCACTCGCCAAAACAAATATTATGCCCTCGCCATCGCTGTAGTCAAGGAAGCACTGTGCCTGCACCCTGTTGGGCACAAAGCTCGCGATGCATCACTAGACATCCTAGGGGTTGCCCTTATGGCTCGTTTCAACAAACGTGGTGACATCAATGACATCAACACAGCTCTCAGCCACCATCGCGAGGCACTAGCATTGAAACCACTTGGGCATCCAATGCGTGACAATATGCTTGCCAACCTTGCTGTTGTGCTCAAAACCAGACATCGGAAATCACACGCTAGCGAGGATCTTAACGAGACTATCGTTCTATACCGCAAGGCTCTCCAGTTAAGGCAGCATGGTCATCCAGAGCGCTATTTACCGCTTTTGAATCTGAGCTCGGCACTCTGTTCTCGTTTCAGGCAAACTCAGAAGAATGAATATGTCGAAGAGGCCATTGGTCTCTCCCAAGAATCATTAAACATTATTGCCACCACTCCACACCCACAGGCACTACTGCTATTTCAGGCTACGGGAAGCCTATACGTGTCGGCACTCCACGCATTACAAGCCTGTCAATCTGTCACTTGCGGTGGAGAACTTCAGACTCGCATCACGACACCACACTCATGGCCCCCTAAGCCGCATCATCGAGGCATATAACTGGACTCTTGCCGCAGAGCAGCATGGTCACAAATCCGTACTGGAGGCCTACTCAACATTCTTCGAGCTTCTTGATGCTCATTTACCAACACTGTCCTCCACAATTTCACGGCGTGAAGTTGCTGCCGCCTTCCATTATGCCAGAACAATCCCTATAGATGCGGCATCGTGTACCTTTTACCATCATAACCTACACAAAGCCGTCGAACTCGTGGAGCAGGGCCGTGGCCAGCTAGCAGTGGTCGACTTGGGACTCCAGTTAAAGACCTCCAGTCAGCAAACCCGAATCTGGCTCACAAATTTTCAGAACTGAGCAAACGCATTTTCAATGCCACTCGAGGTTCTGCAGCCATCATTGACAGAGCCTCAGCTGATGTGGTAGCACAAGAGTACAGGAGACTTACGGAGCAGTGGGAGGCTGTGGTAGCTGAAACCCGTGATCTTCAAGGTTTCTCGCGTTTCCTGCTCCCACTGTCGTGTGAAGACCAGACCTGGAGTAGTTCAAGGACGACTTCGCTAAGGCGATACGGCACGCGGCTGGTATGCGCCCAGAGGAACCGAGAAAGGAGTTGCGAATGCTCTCACGAATAGCATGGGACCAGATCATGCTACAAATTGTTAACATCCTCCAGCACGACCTGAAACTGTGACGCAGGGTCTCGAATATAGCTGTGTCCGACGGCAGCCTTCACATTCATCCCTCTCCAAGCAGCCAACTCCTTTCGTATAAAGGCCGATCGCTCTGGGCTAGAATTATGCCTAGAGGATATCTACATTTGCTCTTACGCTCCGACACTTTTGGCTCTGATCAGAGCTCAGCATACGATGAAGAAACATGTGCCCCCTGGCGCAGCGTATGGGAAAGTGCTCGCCACTGTCGACAGCGAGCTCAAGCTTGTCAGTAAGCTCGTCCCCACGACTGCAAACTACACATTATATCTGGCGACGCAGCCACACGAGCTGTGCACTGGAAGCTTTGCAACATAACACCTGGGTACACCTCGCTTGTCATGAGAGGCAGGACCACCAGCAGCCTTACAATTCCCATTTTACCATGAGAGATAAATCATTGACGCTACTTGATATCATAGAGAAAGCCATTCGGCAAACTTACTTCACGTTCTTATCGGCATGTCATACCGCCGTCGGCGATGAGAAGACACCTGCCGAGGCCATTGACCTTGCAGCCGGTCTGCAATTTTCTGGGTTTAAGAGTGTTATTGGCACGTTGCGGTTGGTTGACGATGCTGTTGTGAAACGCGTTGTCGAAGCTCTCTGTGAGTATATGTTCAAAGATTTGAAGGGGGGTGTCATGGACTGCACGAAGCGGCTTCGGCACTCAACCATGCTACGTACGCCGTGAAGAAGGAAGTGTCGCTTGAGCAGACGATCGTTTTCGTTCATATAGGCGTGTAGCACTAAGTATGTCGCATCCCAGTCTGGTACAGACTATTGATCTTGGATTCCGGCGCACCTGTTAAATTGCTACCTTGCCAGTGTAGGATTATCCTGATGATTTTCTTGCATCCCCCTCGTGCTATCCATCGTCTGATACTCTAAGGACGAGTCTTTTACATTTGTTGCTCGAGGATAGAATGTGAACGTGTCGGGAAGAAGAGCGATAGAGTAAATCGACTTATTGTCATTGGAGCGGTGCAGCCCGAGAGCATGCCTGCCTAGCTGACGAGGTATGGTGATCCACAACAATGCTACCCTAAAAGATCTACATTAGTGAACTCTGACGAGTCGACATGGGTATCTTCGAGGACCATATACATGTTCCAATGATAAGAACTACATGTGCACCTACGATGTGTCCAACAGATATCTCCACATCCCGAAGAGTAAATTCACCAAGAATCCAAACACAATCCCCACTTGTGTACGCCGTCTATGTTCCAGTCAGCACATGATTACGGGGGAATTTACAAGCAGAAAAAGAGACTAACGAAAATATAACGCTCTCCCCACTCTCGTGCTCGCCCTCTTCCCAGAAAACTGCGGGTTTCGTTTCACGCAGGAAGAAAAATGGTATGATCGGGAAGAAAAACCCAATGACAATCCCACGGAGAATGAGACTCTGTGAGGAAGCAGAAGAAAGGGATGCTGTGTTAACGTTATCCATAGAGTCTATCCATTGTTCTTCGAGGGCTCGGGCGTGTTCGTCATCTGCGGTATAATAAGCATAATTTCCGGTAAACTCATGAGGACATACAGTCTTCCTCGTTCTCAAACTCAATGTCAAGATAATTTGACGAAGATTGGCTGTGAAACTGCCGTCTGAAATTTGCGATATCGTCTTCAGAGAACCCAGCAGCAGCCAGTCTGTCAAATCCCCTCAGTGGCTGCAATTGAGCGACCTGTGCCCAGAAGCAATAAGTGAACAAGAATCAACGTTTCCATGCGCCATGCACCTGTGGTTTCTCCTCTTCACTCTCTCCCTGTTCAATCACGGGGCCAACAGAACAATGCAACCATGTCACCAGTTGATCGTCCTTTGAGATCTCTTGCGAACGAGCGGACGCTCGCACTTGTCGCTCCTCGAGGGTCTTCAGCCATTCATGAAGGAGCGTTCCGTCTGTTAGCAGGCGCCCAGCGTGTATGAGACGAAGCCGACGGTCTTTCAATTCGGGGACACCTTCAACTATCTGCATTCATCTGTTCATAAGACAAGCACCGAATATACTCTCAAAAACGCACATTAGCTTTCACATCCCTGACTGAGTCCTTCGGATGGACTTTGAGGTTAAAGTCGGGGACACCCTCAGTAAATCGGATCGTCAGGTCTCTTGAATTATCCGGTGGTACCGAAGACGAGGCCTTGTCAACGGGCGGGTCTATTTCACGCTGCTTCCCTTTTGCTTTCTCGCTGAGCATAGTTCCTGCGCTTGTTGTAGGCCTTCGTGATGGCAAAGTGCAGTGGCATGCACTGCTGTCAGGCTTGTGACGCGGCGGCCGCGACTGAAGGTCATTGCACCGCCATTGGTCACGTGATCCGGGAATTCTCAAGATGACTATTACTAAGCTCGCCTTCCTCCCCGTTCATTGATTCAGACCACTATAACGCTTACACCAGTCTTACCCGGACCTCCTGTTTATTGCCCACCATGCCGCGCGCAGAAGGTCAGTCAGACTTACATTTGCCAGAATAATTCCCACTAACGTTATATGTCCAGTCGGAACACCAAAGTATCTCGCCAATAAGATGAAATCCAAGGGCCTACAGCGCCTGCGGTGGTACTGCCAAGTCTGTGAGAAGCAGTGCCGAGATGAGAACGGCTTCAAGTGCCATGCTCAGTCCGAGGCCCATCTCCGCCAGATGCTCGTCGTCGGTGAGAATGCCGGGCGGCATATCGCTGATTTCTCGAGCCAATTTCAGCACGATTTCGTCCAGCTTTTAAGTCGACGGTGAGTGGCTCTGTTTCAATCTGGTATCAGTGTCTACAACCTTATTTGACATTCATTAGATATAACACGAAACGCGTGCGCGCCAACCAAGTCTATCAAGAATTCATCCAAGACAAGAATCACCTGCACATGAACGCCACCCGCTGGGTGACTCTCACCGAATTTGCCAAGCACTTGGGGCGCTCAGGGATTGCACGCGTGGACGAAACCGAGAAAGGGTGGTTTATTGCGTGGATCGACAGCAGCCCGAAAGCGCTCGCAAAGCAAGAGGCCTCTATGAAAAAGGATCGAGCCACGCGGGATGATGAACAGCGCGAGCGCGTTCTGATTGCAGAGCAGATTGAGAGAGCTAAGTTGGAGAAAGATGCCAGTGAGGAGGGAAGTGCGAGCCCCCCTGCCGGGGAGGGCCTCAAGAGAGAAGAGGGTGCAGAGAAAGTGGTTCTGTCATTTTCTGCCAAGTCAGCGGCTACATCGGACACGACGACGACAGCCGCTCCGACAGGGCTGAAGTTGACTGCCGTGAAGCCTGGCGTCAATCCTCTCAAAGCCAATCCATTGAAACGGCCCAACGTGTTCAAGTCTGCCGCTCCTGTCAAGTCTGAGATTCCAGAGGGTGGCGGTGGGAATGATAGGAAACGATCCGCGCCGATGTCAGCTGCAGAACGGCTTATCATGGAGGAGCAAGAGCGTAAACGCCGACGGATGGATAGAGAAAGTGTAGCCTAAATTTCAGCCGAGTAGTATGTTTTACTGTATTCTTATTCGATTTTCTCTGCTCTCATCCCAGCTATTGCAGAGATGTTTTAGCTTATCGAGATATGACTGACTTAGAATGTAAGGAAGTTAACGTGCAGCTACTTAGACGACAACTACGACTACAGTGCGTGTTTGCGCGTGCGGCTTGCTGTATATAACACACCGACAGTCATAACGTGGAATGTTACAGACCAACCCCACACACGCCACAACGCTGTCTACGATGGCAAGGGCCGAATTCGAAACTGCTTGATTGTGACCTCCTCAGTCTTTCTACAACTTCATACCACCCATTTGACGACTTGTATTGATCCGACCGGCAAAAGGACGCAGCGAGTACGATCTTGATGTCTCGGCCAGGAAACACCGTCGCAAGAAAAATTGCCATTTCTTTCGGATGAGCGGGGGATAGATCCGCATCCACCGATATCAGCATGCAGGCGGACCGCACAGGGCTCGAGGACAACATAGCAAGTGATTCATAATCAAGCACTGGCAGCTCTGTCGTTGCCAATGGGATACGAAGACACGATAACTCTGGGCAATTCCTTGCGAAGGTAAGCAGTCGGCCTAGATCGATATTCCCTATCGCCGGAGGAACCTGAAGAGGCGATTCGAAGATCCCATGGCCGGGATCTACAGCCACGGGGCTTGTTAGTGCGGCGGCAGGTGTGAAATCAAATTCGACTAGGTCTGGCCATGCAGTCGCAATTTTATTGCATAGACGATAGTTCAGAGGTATTAGGAGGTCATCCAGTATAACGTGCTGCAAGTGGGAGAAGACGAAGAGGTCTTCTATGGGAAGAAAGTATGGGTGACTAGCACTGTGAACCCCGTCGAGCCCTATGTTGATTTCCGGTCGGTTGATTCCTGATCGGTTGATGGTAATGGTCCTCAGGGATGATTCCCATCCCCTCTTCGACGAGATCAAGGTGGTAAGCATGCGCACGGTGTGTTGGCCGGGGGTGTTGTTGATAGTCAGAGAAATACTATCCAGCGCGTTTGTTTGAACAGCTTTTATCAGCGATATCATGAAATGAAGATCACTTGAGATCGTCAGACATCGCAGGGATGAAAAGAGTCGATGATGGGACGAAAAGAGTCGACGATGGTCTAATTGCCCACACTGACTGCCAGCTGATAAGCGGTGGTCAGCAATGGTCAAGTCAAGGGTGTGGAGCATCGTCGATTGTAATGCTGCCAAGAAACTGACAGTAAAAATAGTACCGCTTGACAGTTTCAGCTTTTTTAGATTCTGAAAACGAGGGAAGTTCTGAAAGTCAGCGAGGTCGGGATAATGGGGATCCCGCCCATGGATCTTAAAATCCAGGTGTTCTAAGTTTTGAAACAAGCACATGGGAGCGATTGCCTGAGAGTAAAACATGGACATGTCTGCCGTAATATGAACTGCGAAATTGTGTTAACCAATGCATGTCTCCTCCATCATGCCTTACCTCTCAATTTTAACGTCCTGAGACGAGGAAGATGATTGGCCATAATTGATATCAATGGCCAACCTTCCACACAATCATCGAACATTGGAAAAAACGTGAGACTCGTGAGGTTACTACAAGATAATGGCGCGAATGAAATACGGAAATCATGAAGTTCCATTTCGTCGGTACAGGTCAAGTGGGTGAGGCGGGGTAGGAAATGCTCCATAGGGTAGGCCGAAAGAAGCCAATTAACGATATAGCAGGGGATCGAAAATGTTTCGGGAAGACGCCATCGACATTCGGCTTCAGGCAAACCTATCCTCCTAATGCGTCGAGCATAAGGAAGCAAGTGTAACAGATTCGAGGGCAAAGTGTCTTGAATCAGGTGCTGTAATCATCTGTGAGGGAGATGCATACCGATCAGAGGAAGATATGACCACTTACAATCATCCGACGCGCACCGCGGTTGTCTTCAAAGAAGTCTGGTTCATGCCGAAGTACAATCCTCACTGCATCATCATCCGAGTTGCGTTCGTCAACACAACGATCCCAAACTCCAACGATGGACGGCGGCATGCACATCAGCAATGGCCCAAAGCATAACTGAGTGTCCCATAGCACGTCGAGTGCCGGACCACTCAACGCATGGCATGTTATCGCAACTGCTGCGAGATCCCGCAGACGAAGTGGATTAGGCTCATGTGAGCCTTCGGGACCCGAAAGAAAAGGATTCAAGAACTCGAAAATATTCCATGTAATTTCAGGGAGAAATAAAGCGTGGTGCATGGCACGATTCGAGCGTCTTGACTCTTGACTTTGCGCGATGATAATCGGTTGATGGGTAGAGATACAAGCTGCCACTCTCTGCAAGTGGTCTGGGTTGAAAAAGGGAATTTAGTTTGGGTTTAATAGTAAGCGCTCATTTTAATGCAGCCACGCCACTGAGGCTGGCATACGCCAAATGTGCCTCTTTCACCAACGCGCTGAGGCTAAGCTTGAAGCTTGAGGGCTCACTTCCATGGTTCTTCACTTACGGACGATCCTGAACTGGCTAGGCTTCCTGTTCAACACATCTGTTTCACACATCCGGCCCATCGTACGCCAATGCATCTTCCTCATTCACAAACTAGGCATCCGGGCTGCGCAGTCTGGCTTGCAAACGATCTTTAGCCGTCTCCTTGCGTATTGCCAGAGGATTTTGCCAAAGAAGGGCAATGCAGAACCAGGGACAACATATTTTATAGCTGCGAGCGCCGTTCATCCAGTCCCGCCAGTGGACCCTCTGAGTCAGAGTCTACCTATCCAGGCAGACCAGCTTCAGGTTCAGGTCAACCAGCATCCTGCTGAAAGTTCTTGCAATTCCATCAATTCCCGGTCACTACTCATGTTACCAATGGAATGGGATCCCAACAAGTTCAAACCATTGGTTCCGAAGCTTTGCCAGAGATACAAAGGAAGGGTGCTTGTGTATGCTTTTTTGTTCTTTCAGGTGTCTTTTGTCCTCACACGTTCGATTGTCCATGATTTAGAAGGAGTAAAACCAATACACAACCTATCCCAGCCAGAAAGAATCATTTTACAGACCCGCCTGTCGACGGTTGGCAAAGTGTCGTACATCCGGAGGGAGCACTGTATTTCTATGACGCCACTCGGGTATGTCGTTGTGTTTCACTTCTATTCTTTGCCTGCGTTGATAATACTTCAAAGCACGTTTTCACGGACGCAAATCTGACAAGAAGAAAGCCACTCAAGGCCATCAATCATCTAGCTGACCAGCTACTCTTGAAAGCCAGTGATATGATCGATGACTCGACGCACCTCGTTCTAGAGTTGCAAGACACGAAAGAAGATGCATGTAATTATTACTTTGTGCAGCACAACAAACGGCTCTTGTTCTGGCTGCAAGATTTCGATGAGCCTATATGTATCTACGAAGATGTCAAGGGTGTCAAATCGGACACTCACATCAGTGGGTCTATCGGCTCTCCTGAATCAAGCTGACTTATACGCAACCAATAGAAATCGCCCTCGAGGCACAGTATTGGTTCGTTGATCGCATTGTGTACGTAGCTTATCGCCCAAGCAGCCATACATTAACGATGCATTTAGTTTAACGTTGTCGTTAGCCGACCTCATGACCATGAAGGATGCACTGTGAGCTATACCCGAGCAATGCTATCATCAAACGTCAGATTGCCACAGAACTGAAGCACGTTCTTCTTCATGCACACTCAGGTTGGTTATTCCCAGCTAGGTTTCGCATAATAACGATCTGGAACGCCCTTGTAGACTTCCTAACATCCAATACCTCTGTCGTTCCCTATGACCTCTCCACGCTACAAAGCATGCTGGACCTTTCAAACCAACTAGTGGAATACGTAGGGACTCCGACACCATCTAGTGATCCATGTGTGGAGTTGCCTGCTCATCTGATGTGCGTGCTAGGTAAGATCTATGCTATTACTGTATCATTTTCCGCTTATACACCAGAAGCTCGCCTCATGCGGTTGTTCAGTGAGTACAGAAACCGTGTTGGAGATAACGACAGCCACTGAATCAACGCTCTAGCTCGTTCAAAATTCCTGAACTTCTATGGGCAAGTCAGCGCGCGTCTCAACGCTAACCAGTCAGTCTACGACGATGAACCAAGCAGGAAAAAAGGTACGCTCCGACTAAGGCTTGCAAACGCCATCCTCTGGGGCGCACCAGCGGCACAGTACAAATTTCTGCAAGACACATGGACAGATAATATTTTGAACTATCCCAAGTGGTACAAACACATTAACAGACTCAATAGCGACTGGGGCAACGTTACCATCTTCGTAAGTTGTTCCCGTTAAGCTGTTGCCTGCATGATCAACCATTTTGGCCAGTCCACTGTGATGTTGGCGGTTGACGTTAGTTTTCTGGCCGTTCCTGGGGTCATCAGCGCAGCAGCCGTGGTCATCTGTTTGTCGGCGATGTGCTCCGTCAGTTCCTTGGTGGTATCTATGCTTCTCGCTGTTGAGTGTCGCGGATGGGGCACGGACTCAGCTGAAGGCGCCGTGCGTTGCCTACTGCCATGCTAAAGGGTTTAATGCTCATCTGTCCTTTGAAGGCATCGTTCATGGCTCGAATGGTTCATACACAATCAGATGTTGAAGCGCTAGCGATTATGTACAGCCTTCCGTATGCATACCTTATATGGGGGTGAGTAGTATTCTTGTATGCATTACAGTTTATTCACGTCCACGTAGAATGTTCTGCTTCGTTACCGCTCTGGGCATTTCTGTTTTCCACTCAACAACCCCAGCAGTGCTGGCCGTTGTAATCATTTGCTGGGTTGCCCTGACTATCTTAACGCTATGGCCCGCGTGGTGGGGTAAATTCAGCATAACACCATGGGTTCCATCCAAGAAGGGAGGAGGACAAGTGAAGGAGACTGTCTGAGCTTTTCGGCAGTGAGTGAAACGTTTTTAACCCTTATCAGATATCTGTACAACTTCGATCAGCCGTATTTATGCCCGACCCGTGTAAAACGTAATTGCTGAGAATGGTCGAACGTTTAAACCCCGAAGGGGGCCGAAACAATACATAGTGCGACTATCAAGCCGTTTCAAGAAAGCGAAAGGTAATGTGCGAGCCTATCACTACATTGACCGAGTCATCGTCAGATTCAGTACAATATTAATCGAAAAGGTGTGTTTCACAGAAGTCGTGGCTGTGAAAGGGATGGTACAGACGATGAAACAGGTACTTAAGGCGGGAGGGCATTTAACAGCACATCTCGCAAGGGCAGCCTATGTATATCAGGTCAGCGCAGTCCCACTGGGAGCCATACAGGACGTACAGATGATATCTGCGCAACATTCGCAGCAGTCCTGAAATAAAAGTCGCAGTTAGATTAACTCCGAAAGAGGTACTATCTCCACCAATCACCTTGCAGCATTCTATATGAGGAGTATCAGCCTACAGCTGACAGTGAAACGTGTCATTGGAGTCTGGACTCACCGAAGCACAGGAAACACTCGAGGGCACCGATGAAGCAGTCCTAGGTAGGGAGAGCGGACAAAAATCAACCACCATTCTCAATTTTCAACTTTCAAAACCCATACTTTAGCAGCTCCTCCTCCACGGAGACGCTTAGCGTGGTGCTCCTGGTGGTTCTGATTGTTGTTGGCAGGAGCAGGGTTCACGACGCCTATTCAAATTGACCCGCAGTTGCCGTGAATACTACGTCTTATCAGTAGCAAAAAAAACGTACTCATTTGAATGGCAGCCTGAGGCTGGTTGGTGGTGGCCTTAGCGGTGGACTCCATGTCGATGTTGAGTGGAAATTTGAGGGTAATGGATGAAGTTCGGGGGAGAAATCGAGGGATGCTTCAGTTGCAATTTGTGAGGACCTTATATGGTGCCCCCCTGGCCCCACTACGCGGCAGAACCGGCAACACGTGCCTTATGATGTCAGCTAAAGGTTACGCGATCACCTTGCGTGTGATCTATTATCAGCTAGGCAATTGGCGCCGCTTCTAAAATTGTGCTCTAGCTCCCTGTTGTCATCCATGACGACGACCAACGATGGCTGCTCCAGGAGCACACGCGGGGACCAACGCATATTCAGGCGAGCGATTTGCCAGGAGTAGAAGGGTTGGTGCACCAACAACGCGTGTACTTGTCCGGTTGACAGTTGGTATTATGGAAACGTGTCAAGAATCACGTCGGCGATCTAGCTAACCTACTTGTAGACATACCCTTGTGACTACCTGCAGGGAACCGACAGCATCCGAACGCCCTGCAGCCCTTCTGGTTTCCACCATGAAACCAGAAATCAGAGGTGGAGGATCGCAGTTGAAGTGCGCAGGAGCACACATAGCCGAGCTTGAATTTCAAGGGACGGCGGGATTATCCATGAGCATCTGAATCATCCGGCGCCAAACTCACAAGCTTGCAGATTGCAAGTTACATACGGATTTTAAGTTGAGTTTCCTTCGGTGAGTCGGGCACTATCCCACCGTGAAGGCAACCGACGGGACGCAGGTCTTTTGAACAGTGACGACATTAACAAGGCTCGCTACGGTCCTAATCATTGCGCCAGATTGGCAGGTATATATGATCAATGTTTAACTTCAAACTATTTTTGGTATATGGCGCTGTACAATCCCATGTACCTTGCAATTGGCGGGTATATTTGATCAATGTTCCAACTTCAAGTTATTTTTGATATATGGCACTGTACGGTCCCATGTGCGTGGCAGCTATCGTTGTCAAACGCGCACTCAAGCTTTTACAGTTCATCCCCCGGTCTTGGAACACTAGTCGACACTGTTAAGGTGGCTATTTCGCTCGCAGTCGCGTTACATTGACCAGGTCATTGTTTGGCCTACCGAATCTTACTGTAAGGGGAAGGTTATTCGCTACCGGTGTTCAAACGTTCATGTATCAAGCCAGATGCAAGTGTCGAAACGCTTTATCATGAGCAAGTTCTGTGCTCTTGTTGGTATGATACATAAATGCTTGAATGATATCGACGGTGACGAACGCTCATCAAGTATACGGCAGATCTCTGGCGCCAATTTGATGCTAGCCTGCCGCGCGCGACGCAGGGGTGCATGTATAGGGTTCCGCCTAAATGATATTGTCGTCCCGACCAGCTCGGTAAAAATATGGCCGATTGTGAGGTCTCCTCTAATATGAGACTTCTTCGGTCCTGCTTTCAATGGCACAGCATGCAAACTCGCTTTAGCAAATGGGTTTGGACTTTGAGATGATCCAGATCGCTCGTCTCACCCTCGCAATACTAATCTTCTTTCCATTTGGATAGCCTCTACTCAACATCATAGAAGACAGAAACGTGATCATCAAGAGGGACATACAATCTGCAAACTGCTCAGTCTTCGCATGGGTAACGATATGGAGATAGTTCATCTCACCGTCTTCATCACATGAGCCTTTAATGCTGAAGCTAATTAGCCGGTTCAATCGGTGCATGGACGCGATCCGTTCCAGGGCTCTCCTGAGATCCCCGCCGCAGCTTTTCGACATATATGAACGTCAGCACTACCAGGTCCACCATATGCTCGACTGGCGGAAAGACCTCTAGGTACGCTTCATGTCCTGTCTTCTTGAAACTAAACTTCAGCGGGTGATGCCGAGCCACTTCCGTGCCGCCGAGCATGAGCTGACAACCATGTACCGCGTTATAAGTCTTTCGTTGGAAGTGGATAAATAAAGATGTACATCTAACTTACGACGCATTCGCCCGGGCCAATCTTCCACTTGTATGACAGTCCGTCGGGACCTTGGAAAACACGCCGCCTGGACGATAAAGTATCTGAACAGCTGAATAGACAATAGATAGTACACACTCACCGTCCAGTAATCCCCTTAGTTGGAATGAACTGAGACGTCACCAAATCCATCCCATTGTATTTGATGACAGTCGAAGAAAATGTATGCCACTCGATCTTTGCGAGGATCTCTGACGATTCTACTTTGCCAATATTGAATTCGCTTGGGACGTGCTTCTTGACGACCGTCACGCGAGTATCGAACGAGAAGGAGGTCGAGGTCGAGTACAGAACATGTCCCTGCTCATTTGTAATCACGGTGTTACGCACATGCTGCGGTTTGAAGATGAGCTTCATCTCTGGTGTCTGCAGAGGTTGTGGATATTCCCTGGGTTCTTATCGTCTGTAGCGTTGAGTTATTCAAAGATAGATACATCCTGCCAGGCTGTTCGTGAGAGAGCCTATCGGGATATTTTAAACCTCTGTGGCATTAAACATTCCATACGGACTCTTCGGAAAGGGGCGTTATGTCATACAAAGAGGTCTTTACACAGCAACAAGATCCGGGATAAAGGAATGGGAGAGAGGCATGGGAATTTGGGCCAAACAATTGCCGAATGCAAAGGCGCCAGTGCTCGCTCCAAGATCGGGAGGAACTGTACAAAGTTGAGTGCGTGTAATCATGCTTTGGAAGATGTATTTCTACGGGCTGAGACTGGATCAATAGAAGACTTCAGATCTTTTGAACCGAAAGCAAGTGTCTTCGAGTGTTGTCAGATGGGCCAACAAGCAGACAATAACTACAAATAAATAGGATACAAACAAACAAGATCACCAAGACTCCAGGAATTGAACGCTTTCTATTCATCGATCCAGTGACTTCAGTTTCAGAGCCTGTAGAGAAAGACATTTACCAAAGCATGACATCGATGACTGGAACACCCCAGCCTTACTCGGGATACGCCTCTCCGATCACGGCCACTTCGTTCTTAACTTCTCTTCCTGGTCCCACGTCTAAGGTCTCACCAAAACAGAAACCGGTCAACGTATTCTCAGACGATGGATCCTTTTTGGAAAGATTCCAGAGGAGCAAGAAGGTGGGCCCCCGTAGATATCATATATCTTTTATCTAGATGATTTGCTGATTTATTTGGTTGTATGAGTAGGAGGGGGAGGATAAACGGAGAGCTGAGGAGGCACTCGCGAGGCAAGTTGATCGCTTTTTTCGTTGCTTGAAATCTCATCGTGTTTGTGCTTCTGCAGGAAGAGGCAATTTGATGAGAGATTTGTCAGTATCACAAGTGTTATCTCACTCCACATCAGTTTGATCGGTACCCTTTGCCAGAGAAAACGGGGCAAGCGTCCTCAACTTGAAACTTCTTCTGCACTCACCCAAGGAAATCCTGCAAAGAAATTCAAGGCCTATGGTGATTCCTTATGTGAGTACGCGTTTTATCACTGTAAAGTGGCATATAGCTCACTATCCGTAAGGATACGCTGTCAAAGATAACACTTTCTTTTTATTTCATCAGTTGAATTCGACTGTTTTAATAGTGAGTTCCGTCATTAGATTATCCACGCTCCCCTCGCGTATTATCGGTACTAACGACATGGTCTTGAAACTAGCCAGACATCAATGCGTCCCATGATATCTTCATAATGTGCGCCTTCACTCTGTAGTCTTGAACTCACCAGTACTGGAATAATCAATCATTTGTTTGACCACATAATGCGACCAAGCCCCAAGTAAATGGATGGTCGAACACCGAATGTATGATTTTTTTCCCTGAAGGTACCCTATGCGAACAGTACTAGTAAGTCCCGATACCTGATTGCATTAGATCGCGCCTTCCTTGCATAGAAAATCTCTGATTGCAGGGTATCTTCGCAACTTCAAGTTTAGCCATACGCTGAAGATGAGTTATCCCACTGCTGTCCTCCGCATTGACATCAAAGCGGCTCAACTTGCACGAAGTTGTCCGTAGTTGCTAGGTAAGTATCCTCGTCCACGCCAGTGTAGCTCAAGCGCATCCGTGAGATCAAGGTATGCAAGGGGTCTACGTGTATAAATGATTCCTCGCCGATCACCAAGTTCTATCGACTCGATGGTCTTGTGTATATCAGAGTCACTAAGGCCTCTCCGCTATTGTTAAGGCCTGATATGATCTGCGTCAGATTGTCGACTTGCTCGGCACCAAGTCGGCAATCTGATTACGGCGGAACAACATATTTGCGGGCTCAGATTACCTCCAAATGGATGCCACGAACTACCGTCAGGTAACACAGGCCCGTCGGTTCAGAACTCCAAGGTAATTGTTTTACATTCAATCACGCGGAGCACCATTCGAATTTAGGACAGGATGTCGGTAAAAATAGGCACCTCGACCTCCCAAGTCATCGTCATCCGAGTCAGTCCTGATCATACTCGGGCACACCATGACTTTGCGTGGATGGATGGTTGCTCTGATCTTGGAGAGTCGATACCGCCGGTGTTGTTGCAGCCGCCGTTCTTGAAGCCTCCACACGGGCTAGAGTCTTCGGATCCGTAACAAAGCAGTATGCTTGAATTTGCTCGCCTAGTAGTAGATGCCATCGATTAGATCAGTCTTTGAAGTTCGCACGAAAAGAAAGATTGAGTAATTAAAAAAAGATCGTGGACCCACAAATGTTTTTGGTTCATGACCCGAATAAGTTTGTTTGATTGCGGTCTGATCTACGCCACATTTACATTATTTCTTCGGTCAGCGTTCGAATTTTCATGGCTCCAACAACACGAGTATCAAACAAAGACAAGCACCCTGGAAACATCTTGCTTCCTGATTCCCACCTAGCCAGAAAAGCCGCTGCAACAAAAGCAGCCATTGACGAGGTCGCTCAGTTACTAAAGCAAGAAATGTACGAGGACGCATGGCAGTGGGAAGGGGAAGAGGCAACACGTCCACTAACACGGTCCAACGCGAAGATCACGCACCCTTCAGGAGCGCGTGCTTGCAATCAACTCAGCAGCTCGAAGCAAGAGCAGACAGGTACGTAACGAGTACCACGAATGGACTCTATTGAACAAATTGTTTGCAATCCGACAGCCGCTGCGGACAATGGGAGCTCCCACAAATACAAGTTTATGAAAAGGGAACAACGAGAAATGGTAGCTGAGGCAAATAAACAGTATTACCTCGATATCGAGGAGGATGAAGATGAAGAGAAACAGGAGCTAGCACAGAACGGGAAGCGAAAGGAGCGCGTCGTCACGTACAGCACCGATGATGAAAGGTAAGGTTTAGATTTCGCGTCATTATCGTTAATCTGTCATCTGACATCAATATTAACGCTCACTGCGCCTTGTCAAACTCTTAGGCCTACTCCAAAAAAACTCAAACCCATCTCCCAGCCTCCAGTCAGGGGTCTTCAAGTTGAAGTTCTTCTTCCCAATTGGCGCGCGATTGTTGCACGTGACGTTCCCCATTCACACCTTAAGCAAGCTTCTAAGTCCCACAAGTCTGATTCAAAGGAAAAGAAAAGTAGGTCTTTGTTTTATTCTACTGAATGAACTCTGCTACATCAAACAGGCCTCGAACTCGAGGAAGCAAGCAACGTCGATTACGGGAGTTGCGGAGATGAAGACGTCGTTGCTGACTCGGAGGAGGATGAGGAGGAGGAATCGAATTTCATCGGTCCGAACGACTCCCAGTGTGCACCATCCAATGTTTCCCTACTTGTGCCCACAAATGGCCTGCAGCGCGCATCCGTGAATACTCCCCAGAATTCGCACTCCGGAAATGGCGCCGCTGGTGCACAGCGTAATTTTGGCCCCCTTGTATCTACTCAACGCAAACCCATGGGCGCACTGCGACCAATTTCCAAGTCTCAGCCTCGCGTCCCTGCTAGTTCCGCACAACAACCGGCAAAGAAGCCACACACTTGGTTCCGCATAGAAGATCTACCGAACGGCAGTCAGCAGCGCTTCCGCGAGGATTTGTTACCCATGTGGCTTGATTTCGTCTCCACCCTCGAAAACCCTTGGGATGTTGCTAACCATATTAATGTTATGCAAGAGATCTGGAACATGGTATTCACGGACATTGACCACACTGTGCAAAAGACGAACGACCCGGTGTATTATTTGGTAATTAACCTTTTTTTTTTCGTAGAGTGCTACTAATATTTCTGTAGTTGGTCCAACGTGCGATTAACTACCGCAACGCCTTTTCCAAGCGCGGCGAAACCGCCGTCGCAACTTACCTAAATAGCCTCGGCTTGAAAGATCCAGAGCAGATCGCCAAATACATCAGCTTCCTTGTCCCATCAGTTTCAGACATACGCAGCGATGAAGAGACTGCTGAATGCTACCCGTTCATGTGGCAGGAAACGAAAGTTATCATGGACGAAGACGGACGTATCGAACACATGGTAAGTATACCAGTGTTCTACGGGCATCATATCGTATTTAACATTATTTAGGAAACGAAGGGCGCATTCTGCTCTCAACCGATTTCTGACACTCTTGCGCTCTACCTGGAGATCAGAGAATCCATTCCACAGGCGTGGCGGCAGACGGATCATCCTCGTGGCGCTCTCGTCCTCGCAACTGCTTCAGTAAGCCCATTGTTTCTCAATAGCGCTATGTACTGACTTTTTGTCAGGTGGAACGTGCGCTGAAGATGCACTCAACTGGTGTTTATGCCAAGCCCCAAAACCATCTCGAGTCTAGGTTCTCGCAGAAACATTGGGGTGTTACGACGGAGAATGTAATGATCTCTGTTAAGAAGACTTCTTCACGGGGATGGAAGAAAATCATCAAGGCCGCTATGCTTTACAGCAGAACTCGCAAAACACGTCGTAATTTGCGTCCAGTACCTGACAGAGCCCGTGAGGGGCCGAATGGTTATACACATTGTGTTGATGCGGACTCTGCCTCTGACTCCGGCTCTGATATCATTTTCTAGTAGAATGTGTCTGATGAGTTTTCTCATGGGTTGATGGCATGGTTTTGAAGCTTTCCATAGACTAAGCACTAGGCTCCTACACATATGCATCGTCATCAACTCGTTAGCTATACTCTGCGCTATGCGAGTTATTCGAATTTCAGATTTGAAACATCTCAAGAACGGTTGCAGCGATGAACCTGATTCCTTTTGATCAAACATCCATCGATATTCTCATAAACTGGTACTGGCATAATGACTACGGTATATTTGGCCGAATGATGCTCCCGAGGCCCAACAATTTGTGAATGGACATGATCGTACACCGAGTTATAATTCAACCGTTTCTTCCCCTGAAATAATAAGTCCAGACAGGGCCCCATTTCGTTACACCGCCCCTTCCTCGCATAAAAATTCTCTGACTAAAGGGTATCTTTGATCGACTTCAAGTTTACACATATGCTGAAGAGGAGTTATCCCACTGCTGTCCCGCGTATTGACATCACAGCCAGCTTGTACGATGCTCTTCATAATTGCTAGGTAAGCATCTTCGTCCACGCCAGTGCGGCTCGAGTGCATCCGTGAGATCAGGGTATGCAAGGGGTCCACGTTCATCACGTATTTCTGAAGAAGGTGTTCCCACACGTGAGACTGGGTGCCGAATGCAGTGATGATATTGCCGACGTCACATATTGGATCTCGTCGAAGAAGATATTCAACAACGAGGAAGAGCTGGCGTTGAATGGCGATACGGAGGGGTGTGTCTCCCGATGAATCTGCGGCATTTACTGAGAAACCCTCGTCGATGAGAATCAGCAGTATCTCCCCGCAGTCTCGCTCGCAAAATGGACCGTGCATCCCGTTGTTTGAAAAGCGGAAGTCTTGAATGCTGACGGGACCTGTAATTACATTGCGGATCAACGCGTGGAGTGGGGCGCCGCTCTGAAGCAGCGCCGTGATGATCTCCGCATTGTGTTCTTCTAGTCCATATCCACAGAAGAAATCGAGCTGTCCGCATGCGAGTTTTCCGAGGAGATAGTTGACTGCAGATGGGATTCGCTTTTGCATAGCGATACTGAGCGGAGTTTGTCCCGCTGAATCTCGGCTGCTGGCATCATGTCCAGCTTCGATGAGAGCCCGCATAGTCTGGAATCGGCAATCTGTCTGCCATGTGTGCAGCTGGTCGACCCACTGCTCCTGTCCATAGAAATTGGTACATGGAGCAGGCACATCACTATTGAGCGTGACGTGCACCGGATGATTAATGTGAATAGGGCTGCCCACTTGGAGGAAGTACTGCGTGACACGTGGGAGCGACTGGGTGATGGCTAGGTCTACCAGGGGTGAGTATCCAGCTAAGTCGACACCTTGTTCGCATCCTGCATCAACGAGGGCTTTGGTAATTTCTAGGCACTTGCTATCATGCAACAATGGGGACGGTGACTGGTGGCCCAATAGCGTGAGCATCTGACTGGACACGTCCGCGTCTGCAACATGCTGGAGAAGGTTTCGGATGATATCGGGGCCCACATCGCGATCTTTGATAGCAATACCAATGGAATCTATGTGCAGTGAAGCACCTTTTAGGAGGAGGTAATCCATCACCGAGGGTATTTCATGGATTATAGCAAGGTAAAGTGGCGTACACCCAGCCGAGTCCCGTCTGTCATATTGACATCCTGCATCTATGAGGATACGAGTTATCGCAAGATAATCACCACTTTGCGTGCAACGAAGCAGCGTGTGAAGAGGGTTGGCACCACAGCGTAATACGTTCACATCTGCTCCACGAACAACAAGAGCCGAAATGATGTCGGGATTCAAGTCGACTCCAGAATTGTAGGCAGGATGAACCGCATCGTGAATGGCATCTGCCGGAATGCAAGCCCCTCTTTGGATAAGATATTCGACTAAAGGGAGAGAGTGAAGTCTGATGGCAAGGTGGAGGGGGGTATTCCCTTTGTCATCCATGGCGTGCAAGCTGCATCCCGCGTCGAGGAGGAAGAGGACTGTCTCGAGACAATCACCTCCCAAATTCCAGTGAGTGAGGAGTATGTGGAGAGGGCTAGCACCAAAATGCACTGCATTGATGTCTGCGCCGTGCTCGACGAGCACCGAAACGACATCCGGGTCGATTTGAGCGGATTGAAGTGCAGCATGGATAGCATCCACGGGAACACGGGCACCTCGTTCTATTAGATACTCTATGAAAGGGAGCGGTTGCTGTCGAATAGCAAGATGAAGGGGGGTATTTCCGACTCTGTCTGTGGCATCCAATGAACACCCTGCATCAATTAGGACTCCCGCTATCTTGAAGTTGTCGCGTTGCGTGTCTGTATGTCCAACCAGAGCATGGAGTAAATTGCCACCATCATGGTCGACATCTACCCCGCGCTGGACAAATACAGAAGCCATGGCAGAATCGATCCAGTCCTTCTCGAGGTTGTTGTCAAGGGGGTCTGCAGTGTCGATCCACCCGTTCTCGAGGTTATCGAGAACAAAGTCCGCAGAAACGCGAGCACCTCTTCCTACCAAATATTTCACTAGGGTGACTGACCCTTGTATAACGGCCAGGTAGATCGGGGTTTGACCTGCTTCATCTACAGCTTCTAACGAAGATCCCGCTTCAACGAGTATACGCGCTGTCTTGAACCATTCTTCTTTCCAATGCCGATGATGAAGCAGAGAATGAAGGGGATTGCGTTCGTTGCACTGCGCGTTCACATCAGCACCGTGTTGGACGAGGGCGGATATAATGGCATGATCGATCCAATCATTCCCAAGGTAATCGTGGATTGCGCCCGCCGGTATGCAGGCGCCTCTTCCGATGAGATCTTTTACCAATGGCAACGATCCGCATCTAACAGCCAAGCGGAGAGGCGTATAACCCTCTCCGTCTTCAACATCAATTGAGCACCCTGCTTCAATAAGTAGTTGTGCCGTCCTGAGCCAGTCATCTCTCCAGTTCTCGTGAGAGAGCAGGGCGTGAAGGGCATTAGCTCCATTGCGCACCGCATTCACATCCGCTCCATGTTGGATAAGGGTATCTATGACTGAACGATCAACCCAATAATCCTCTAGGTGATCGTGGATTGCGTCAAGAGGGATATGAGCACCTCTTGATATAAGATATGTCAATAGGTCGGGCGACCCATATCTGATGGCCAGGAGCAGTGGCGTTTGCCCTGCGTCATCTTCAATATCAAACGGGCATCCTGCTTCGATCAGTGCCTGTGCGAACTCGAGCCAGTCGTCGGTCCATTCCTCATAACCAAAAAGAATATGGAGGGGACTGGCTCCGTTACGTTGCACATTCACACCCACACCATGCCGTAAAAGTGTAGAGATGAGGGCAACGTTAAGGCATTCATTCTCAAGGTGATTGCGAATAGCATCATCCGAGGCGGTGGCACCCTTTTGGAGGAGGAAATCTGCGACTTCATCGAGTGATTTCATGATGGCAATGTCAAGAGGCCGCCATCCCTCTCGGTTCAGAGCATTGTATTCGCACCCTGCATCGACGAGGACACGTGAAGCCTCCAGGTACACTTCCTGACTCTGGGCATCTTTGCGAAGGAGAGTGTGGAGAGGATCGTCTTGAAAATGTGCGTGTATTGCACGAACATTCGCACCGTGATAAATGAGCAATGAAAGGATGTCGGAGCCCACTTCCTCCCGTTGCTCGAGTGTAGTATGAATAGCGTCAACAGGGAGACGGGCGCCTCTACGGAGGAAGCATTCGACGAGTTCCTGTGGGCTGTACTGGAGGGCAAACATCACGGGGCTTGTAGTCTGTGAGCCAATTGTGATGGGCAAATTGACATCTCTTCCAAAACCCAATACAACGTTGGCGAGCTGTGTACGTCCCTCCAAAATTGCGAATTGTAGCACATCATTCCAATGCTCCCGACGCTCTCGCAAATGCCGTTGTATCATCCAATCAGGTCCAAAACGGACGAGAATGCCACAGATGCTTTTGGGATCGGCAAGCCAAATCTGCCAGGGATTGTCGCGAGCCACTTGGTGATTCCAAGGATGCCGAATGCATAACTGGCCCGGGAGATCCTCCAGGCAAGAAAGCACAGAGTCTTCCTCGTGTATGATAGACGTCATATGCGCACCGAGCCCAATATCAAGTGCATAACGCAGCATAGGGCGGGTGCTGCTGGAATTAAGGACATCATCGCTGATCAAATATTGCGCGCAATACTGGACAATGTGTCGGTGGGCATCTTCGAGTAGATGGCGGTACTTTTGTGCGTTCTCGCCTGCCATCAAATATTCCTTGAGTAACGTGCATGAGCAATCATCTTATCAAAAGAAGAATATACCTTACCCGCACACTGTAATGTGACAAAGTCACAACATGGGTTTTCTCGTCGAAGCTCACCAGAAAGCTACATATCTCCAAGAGATCGGTTGGGGACATAACGCTAAGCCTCTGGTTGAGCGTTGTGCTTCCGATCTCTATACTCAAAGCCTCAACAAGTTGAGATAGGTTGAGTGGCTCCAGAGCAGCGACCAGCCACATCAACGTCCGCTCTACTATAGACCTACGATCTGGCCCGGCCTCTTCAATTTGCTGCAATATTCTGTCATATGTCTCGTAAAGGCCTCTCGGGAGACTCTTAAGCGAGTCTGATATCCCCTTAACGGATCGGCAAGCGCTGATTGCATCCAGCTGGCAGTCCACCCAACGGAACCTGTCGAGCAGAGTATTAGGCTTGAAAGATAAACGTAGGCGTTCACTGACATTCCATCGGCCTGCTGCAAGAGCGATGTTCGTATTTCATGTTTCAGATCCGGGGCGAGAGATGCAAGCCTCGGGCGAGCCCCTATTTCTCTGTCGATATGAAGTTCCATGTCGTTATTGATCAAGCGGGCATAGTCGCTTAATGCCAGCGATGGTAAGCCGGACAGAGCACTGGAAATAGCTTGCTCCGTCCTACTGGTGATAAGCAGTCGCAGATCACCCTCATTCACTCCGCTAACCAGCCGTGTGAGGAATGTCCCAACGCGTTTGCATTCATCAAGGGCATCGATTATTGCGACCGGCCGTATGAGGAATTTCAAAGAGCGGCAGACGAGGTCGCATAAGACGACAAAGTCAACGGGAGCTTCAGCCCCTTCTGATTTCCTACGAAAGAGGTCGGTGAATTCTGAGCTCCAATCGACGCGTGCTTGTCTCAGCAGCTGGACAAGAAGGGAGCGTAGAACGATAGCTCCGTCTGTGGTTCTTTCATGGCGGAAGTCACAGTAGAAATACACTGGTGTCTCGCCACAGGCCACAAGTTCGTTGATGATTGCAGAACTGTATGTGTCAGTAATTGTGCACTGGTAACAGAGATGAATGCTCACACAAGAACAGTTTTCCCTGCTCCAGCTGAGGTATAATGTTATAAATAGATTATAATTAAAGCTCGTAGAAGTACTAACGCTTGCCATTGATCCATAAGAATTTACCACGCTGCGCTGTGGGTGGTGTCTTCCATTGACGAAAAGCTTTCATTTCGAATACCCAGGTGCATGTGTTCTCTTGTCGCTGAGCGGAAACTTCTTCATGCCTGACCGTGCAGTCGAACCCTCCCAGCCACTGTAACAAGTCCTTTCGTTCTTGGTCTGAGTGATCGCGCTTATGAGCGATGGAATGTGATTGGCCAGTGGCTGAATAGGCATACCCTGTGCTTGTCTAATCACCCTTTCCAGCTTCTCCTGTTCGTGTCTTCTCGTGATCATTTCCTGCGTGGATGTGATGTGAGCGATGCTGTTATCGATCCTATTCTAGTCATTAATTAGCATCAGTATGCGTTGAGATTCGACCAGATATACACACAGTAATTGCCAATTTCGCAGCCGTGACTTCCTCTCTGACCACTAGCGCGTCATCTCCAATCTTTTGTTTAACCTCACTCGTTCTCCTGCTAATTTCCTGCTTAATATTTTGCGCCTCATCCTTTACATCCAGCTTGATCTCCTTGGCTGTAGCTGTTATTTCTGCCACATGTGACCTGGAATGGACATTAATTGTGTCTCAGCGCTCAGAATCCAAATCCGAAGCACGTACAAGAGACCACCAGAGATGGTCAGCGAAAGGGCGCTTTTACAACGCTCCAATTTATCGACAGCCTTCATTATATCGGCTTGCTGAAAGGGCCACGCTAGCCTTGAACCAAGCCATGACCGACGCTTATTCTCTGGTATCCGCTCACAAAGATCTTGCAAGACTTTCTGGCACTCCTTTAATGCGCTGTCCAAAGGAGATAAGTCGTTTCTTCGCGTTGACAACGCAGCATCCGATTGTCGAAGGAGTAAAAATATGTGATTGAGAGATGCGTTGAGGGAGGTGAGTTCGTTGCGAAGGCTCATACGTGCAGCCTCTGCCCCTGCAACGGATGAAGCATAACTATTGACTGCAAAGATGACTTGCAGAGATAGTTGAACTATGGAAGTAACACCGCCGACGTTCGCAATCTCGCCCACGACGTTCCATGTCGCCATGGTTGGGGGTAAGGTGAAGGGAATGGGGGCGAAGCGCTCGCATGAATTATCCTCAGGCTTGAGTCTGAAAACTAGAAGCGCCCTTCGGGGTTGTCCCTTGTTTCTCACCGCCGTAAGGATTGGGCTGTCATGTGCCTAGCTAGTGAGCGCTGAGTACTGAGGTCTTACCCGTGTTAGTATAGGCGTGGTATATGACCGAGGCCCAAGTATGATGAGGACATGATGGCTGTGATCCTCCAGAATCGTGATGTGTTGAAATATAAGCCTTGAAACGACAATATTACGTAGTACTTATATGGTGCGCTTAAGGTTTCAATGCTCACGAGCCCAACACGAGCCAGCCAAAAAACCAATAGAGATATTCTACATAGTTTGAACCTAGATACATATAGGGGATGTCCATACTTGTACCAAGTCAATATGAATGTTCCTAACATATTCATCGTAAAGGGTCGACAAAGGGAATAGAAAGTGGGGCAGACAACCTTCACCGTGACGTGATCATCTTCCAGTGGCAGACACCATCCGCGTCCGGAGCTTTGACAAGTCCCTTAAAGATGTGTTTGCCCATCAAATAATCAACACGTTTGACTCCTTCGCTTGCCTCGAGCTCAGCCGAGGAAGGGATGCTCCTGTATCTGGCGGTATATGCTCTCGCAATCTCGGTTTCCTCACTCTGAGTTAGCAGGGCCCAGTTGGAGTGAGAAATTTGGAGGTGTAGAGAAGAATGGATCATCCTCAGAACATCGCCGACCGTTATAGGAGCGTCCGAATCGAAGTCAAGGTCGATAGGCCATTCAGGAATAGCATCGTGTATGATGCGCATGCTGGTGATGGTTGGTGTCGTGGCAGGCATCTGTAGCCTCTCCTCAGGAACCATGGCCATGTCGACTGTGCTCGATGGCGCAAAGGCTGAATGAGACGTGTCGAAGTAGAGATAATGATTTCTCTTAAGAAGTGGGTGAAGTAGGTATTCGACCTCACTGGCCTGCTTGATGTTTGCTGCCTCAGTCTTTGCGTACACATGAATCTCCTTGGTTAAAGCTTTCAGCTCCTTCATATCTGACCTGGAATGAACATAATTATGTATAGTGCCCAGGGTCCAAATTCAGATCAACACGTACAAGAGGGCGCCAGAAATCGTTAACGAAAGGGTACTTTTACAACGCTCCAATCTAACAACAGCCTTCATAATATCAGCTTCCTTGAATGGCCAAGCTAGCTTTGCGCCGAATAACGACCGGCGCTTGTTCTCCGGTATCCAGTCACGAAGATCCTGTAAGGCTTTCTCGCACTCCTTTAATGCGCTGTCCAGAGGAGACGAGTCATTTTCGGGCGTCGACGTGTCAGGACTGGAATGTTGAGCGAGGAAAAATATCTGATTGAGGATTTTGTTGATGGAAGTGAGTTCGTTGTGAAGGCTCATACGTGCAGTCTCTGCCCCTGCAACGGATGAAGCATAGCTGTTGACTGCAAGGATGACTTGCAGAGATAGTTGAACTATGGAAGTAACGCCGCCAACATTCGCAATCTCGCCCACGACGTTCCATGTCGCCATTATTGGAGATAAGCTAGACTCTGGGAATGGGGGCGAAGCGCTTGCATGAATCATCCTTCGTTCTCAGGGAGGGCGCTTTGGTTGTAAGTTTGTGCCTGGCCAGTCAAAGATCTGATCTGTGCTCTGGTATAATCCCAATAAGAATCTGGGGTCCGAGTATGATGAGGACATGCTGAATCTCTGGCCGATGGCCCCTACAAGTGGCATGAATTGGGATACTACTAATCGACAAATGCCAGTGGGAGTGCGAGTTTTTCAACCTATACCAGCGGTGCTCTAAGTTAGATCCCAAATCGGTCAAGGCAGTCACGTGCATGCTCAAAGTGAGCCGAGGCCCCTAAATCTCTGACAGTCTTGACCACATCGACGACGTTCACCAGCGTGAGTGTCTCTACTAGCTGACACATAATATGCCACATGATCAGTACACGTTTCAGGACTCAAAGACGAGCACAGAGTCTGACTACTTGACTTCATGATGTCGATGAATATTAACCATCCTTTCTCCAGGGACGATTTGACGGTGCGCACGACAGTTAGCATTCAAGGCGGCAATTCACATTCAAATGATGCAATTTCGCAGAACTATTACCAGTCACTCGTCGATTGCAAGTTGTTATCCCCGTCATATGTGACAAGTCAAACAATCGAAGAATTCTTTTCACCATCCGCGCCAGATCCTTGTTGTCCGCGTTGTTCGCACCGTCTCATCACGTGCAAAGGCTGTTCTGTTGTCTCATGCGATAACCCTCGCTGTCCATTTGCCTTCCTTTTTATGGCGTTATATCTGCACATTTAATATTTGCGCGTTCCGCAGCTTGCGTGGTGCGCGTTTTCGTCAATTGAGAGCTGGCGCGTTTTCATCAAGAGTTTCTGCGTTTCCGCCTGCGCGTTTGTGTTGATTGACCCGTTTATATTTTTAAGATTCTCTGTATGAATTTAATGAGTCTTGACAAATATGATGAGACATTATAGATGGGCCAAAGCCCTCGTCAAACTACTACCAATGCATAGCTACGAGGAGGATGAAGGCTCGAACACCAATTTCTCTACTAGAAATTGGCAGGCCTCGGAAACGAAGTGTTCGGCGTGCTGGAATGCCGCTCCCTGATCGAGAATTTTGAACATGATTTCTTTGCACCCCTCGCTGACGCGGCCAAATGACAGCTCCTTGAAACGTTTAACGGCATCGCCATATGGTTGTGCATTCCTGCCATCGAGAAGAAAACGGCCCATACCATTCCACCATATAGCGTGCCAGTCCTCGTTACAACCAGTTGGATTGTGACATTCGTTTGAATGCATTAATATCTTCGGCTCCTCCGCAGCTACAATTCGACGGTGATGATCAAGCGCAGCTTGAACATAAACCACGTTTAGAAAAACATCGTTTCCCATCAGCTCCCGGTGTGCATGGGTGATCTCGGTAATGGGAGTTTCTGCGAGTTGCTTAAAAGTGAAGGGAAATACAGAACGAACATGGTATTTGATAGCAATGTTGATCAATTGAGCCGGATGGAAGCGGAAACGTGCTGAAAACACGCGGGAAACAACGAACTCTCGCGCATGGTGACATTGGTACATGTCGCAGAAGTGGAGGAATTTTGTGAGTTCATCAACTGTGTATGAGCCAGTACGCATCCTACAAATCATTAAATGACTGGGTAAGAAAAAAAATGGTGTGAATGGCATCAACATACCTTCCAAAGGTATGCTCGAGAAACAATTCTAAAGCCTCCCGGGATATTCCCTCAAGGTGAATTGGCTTATCATCACTCATGCCATCTAGCTCTTTTTGTCCGGTGTGTTGTGTAGCGTCGAACATGTCACAAAAGACGTTCGAAGATGCAGACAAAATTGAACTGCAGAGTTTGTATAGTGTGTTCTCAACCTGCCAGCATGAGAATTTCAAGCTGTGATTCGAAACGAGATGAACAAATATAACCCACCTGGAAGATGTGACTTGAGGCATGAAAGTAGTAGACAAGGTGTCGAGTTGCTGACATATCTGCAATTTGAGGCACGGAGGATGTTGAACGTTGAATATTGACAAGAGTCCTTGAGAGTTGATTGAAGAGTGGTTACTTGGAAGCAGAGGGTAAGTTTGAACACACTCCAGTGACCGGAACAAATGAGAACGATACTTTTGTGACCATTGTTAGGTCTGTCTCACCGACTCTCACGCTTTTGAACATTGTCATCATCGCATGCTACTCCATATTCAAGTTGATCTACTGTGATGCCTGTAGTACTGCCCAATACTTTCCCTCGCCTTCCGTCTCACACGTCAATTCAGGCTCCATGGTCAGCAAACATTCTCACCGCTCATGATACTTTGTCAGATATTTACCGACATGCCTATCGAATCCTGAATCAAGAGGATGCTGATCCTCTCCAGCTTACATTTCACATAGAAACAGTATCGGGGGATGCCATACCACTGCTTGAAGCCCTCGCACGCGACCCTCGAGGACACGAGATGCAAGATTGGCTGTCTTACACAGCACATTTGCTAGGAGATCTCTCCATGCTTTTGTCAACATTTCGGAACAATACGCAAAATAGGTAATTTGTCTACTTACGTGTATTTTGAGCCGTCGTGTTGTTGACTATGATAATAAATTCCAGCATGGATGATAATGTCGTGTTTCCGGACCCAGTGGCCTTGCTGCAAACAGGCCATCCAGGCCGTCCAAAAAAAATTATTGATGTCGAATTCCTCGCTGAAGCAGTCTCGAATTCTCGGCAAATTAAACTTACTGAACTTGCTGAGATGCTCGGAGTCCACAGAAACACACTACGACTATATATGAAGCACCATGGAGTTGAACGAAAATACTCCGAACTCACCAATACTGACCTGGATCTTCTCGTCACTGAGTTCAAGAAAAACAAACCCGATTCAGGTATCAGGTACATTGTTGGATTTCTCCGCAGACATGGCCTACGAGTGCAGTATCGACGAGTGGTAGAATCACTCCGTCGAGTGGATGGATTAGGTCAGGTGTTACGAGACCGACGAGTCAAACGTCGACGGAAGTACCATGTCAAGCGGCCTAATGCGCTATGGCATGTAGATGGGCATCATAAATTGATCCGATGGGGGGGTCGTGATTCATGGATTTATTGACGGATTTTGCAGAACAGTCTGACATGTTTCGTTTGCAGTCTATTGATTCTAATTTCCATTTCCATCAGATAACAGGACTTAGAGCTAGCAACAACAATCGTTCAACTACTGTTTTGGACCTTTTCAAACATGCGACACAAGACTTCGGGACACCTTCTTGTGTACGAGGAGATCGTGGTGGAGAGAATATTGACATTGCAACTTACATGATAATGAAAAACGGACCACAACGTGCATCATTCATGTGGGGATCGTGAGTTATGATTTCATTGGCTTATGTTACATGCTAACCCCCTGCACAAGTTCGACACGGAACTCACGGATCGAGCGTTTGTGGGTCGAGGTTGGCACCCAATTTGCCCGGAGATGGAGAGCCTTTTTTACTCGACTCGAAAATCATCATGGGCTTAACCCTCATATCCCTAGTCACATTTGGTTACTCCAGAGTCTGTTTCTTGACGAGATCAATCAAGATTGCTCAGATTTTCAAGCAGAATGGAACTGCCATCCCATACGTGGTCCCGACACGAATAATAAGAGTCCCAAGGTACACTCGCAGCTGAATTTTTGATGTAATGTTGACAAATTATGTGACGACGACATAGGATTAGGGTACTGCATGGGTACTGGTAACCCGTGCGGGTACGGGGTACGGGTGCCTATGGGGTACGGGTACGGGTCGAGTGTTGCGATACCCATGCCCGTACCCGTACCCTGGTGCGGGTTAGGTTAAAAGGGAGTGCTGTCATGTTGACGTCCGAGAGATCCGACACGAGGAAGACCGAACGATCCGAGATAGAGGAGGAGGAAGAGTGACAGGTCCGAGCCCAAGCTAAAACGAGCGTAGACGAGCGACATGTTGACGTCGGCTCGTGCGCTGCAATATGTCAGATAGTGATACATTTATTACTCGCAAACGGTCAAACTTGAAACAATATGATGCCACAATATATTACTGGTGTAACACGTCTCTGGCCCTGCAAATTTTCATCACCCACTAGTACCACTCCCCACCATGCAGCTCGACAATGCTCTCGCAGCTAAAGAAAAACGTGTCATCAAGATGACCGGCAAGGCCAAAGCCGCACTTGAAGAGAAAGCTGTTTCGAAGAAGCGTAAACCTGATGATAGTGGAGATAGCATGAATCTACTACCGAAGAAGGCAAAAAAAGACCTACCAGCTGGTAGCACGACTCTGGCGGACAAAGATAGGCCAGGGATAGCATTGTCGCCAGCACCAACTCCACCTCCAGTTGCAAGTAGGCGTGCCACTGTACGCACAGAGGAGGAGGAGAACATGCTGCATGAATGTACCAACTTGGATGTTGACGAGCCTGCAAATAGCGACACACGGTCGCAGGTTGATGACGAGGCTGATGAGAGCGCCGAAGATGAGCTCAGTAAGTCCAACAATCTATACATGAATTGAACATTAATTGAACATAAATAGAGCGGCTAATGAGAGAGTGGATCTCGCCTGTGTACGCGTTTTTTGATCCAACACCGCAAATCGTCGAAATTGCTGGCCGCCGTGCGCACGAGTTCAAGTGCCAAGCACATGGTTGCAAGGTAAAAGTGCGACGCTTCCTCGATAAGGCTGATGCACGATCCACGGGCAACATGCGGAAACATGTGCGTTTGTGCTGGGGAGGCGAAGTCTTGAAGGCTGCAGATAACGCAAAGGATGCCAATGAAGTGCGTAACAAGATCGTTGACAGCATTCTGCGAGACGGATCCATTACTGCATCCTTTGAACGCAAAGGCAAGGGCAAAATCACGTACTCGCACCGTCAACATACCCGCGGGGAAACAAGGTACGAACCAAGTATTCTGATAGTCTTTGGAGCCTAACAATGCCTTCAGGGCTGAAATCGTGCGTTGGGTGTCCGAGAGCCTGCGTCCATTCGATATCGTCAAGGATCGTGCATTCCAGTCATTGATGAAGACGGGGAGACCCGAATATTACATACCTTCCCCATCCACTGTTTCTCGTGATGTGCAACTTGTCTTCGCGCGGACTCGACAACGGGTTGCTACAATGTTGCAGGTTAGTGTTTTTTCGTTTAGACAAAATCAAATGTTAACGACGTACCAGGAATACAACGGCAAGATTAATTTTACTACCGATGGTTGGACATCGCCCAACCATCGCGCACTGGTCGCATTTTCGGCCCACTTCGAGCACGAAGGGGAGCCACTATGTATCCCATTAGATGTGATTGAAGTTGGGAAGGTAAAACTTACTAATCTAGTACATGTATACGAGCTAACAAGACCACAGTCCCACACCGGCGAAGAGCTTGCAGAGACCTTTGCGAAAATGCTAGAGGAATTCGGCATATCAGAAAAGGTATTGTTCAAACAAAAAAAAAACTTACATGCAGCTAAATGCATGATGCACAGATCCTGAGCGTGACTTGCGACAATGCATCCAACAACGATGCAATGATTCGTGAACTGAGCAGTAAGGTACTCGAGTTCGGTGGAGCAACGACTCACACAAGGTGTTTCCTCCACACCGTCAACCTCGTGGCAAAATCGCTTATCCGAGAGTTTGACGTGAAGAAACCGGACGCTGACCATGAGCTGAAAGACCTGAGTGCAGATATTGAGGAGGAGGATGCAGGGATTGCGGAGGATGTAGATAACGATGACGGATTTGTTGACGAGGTTGAGTTGTTGGACAATCAAGAACGAACAGCACTAGACAAAGACATTCGACCAGTCAAATTAGCGCTTGGAAAAGTAAGTACAATCAAACTGTTAAAAACTCACCATTGATCCCAATCTACATCCTACCAGTTGCGAAAGCTGGCATATAAAATTATCCATTCGACTACCATTGTGCTTCCTGCATGGCACAGCATCCTCCAGGACTTGGCGCAGCCACAAACGCTTATGCCACGCGATGTGGCAACACGATGGAATTCGACCTTCGACATGTTGGACTACGCCCTTGGACATCGAGAAGCCGTGGATGCTGTTACCCAACGGCGGGACTTGGGATTGCGGAAGTTCGAGTTGGAGGATCATGAGTGGCTAATACTAGAACAGCTGCGAGATATACTTAAGGTTGGTGCATTCCTTTTTTGGTACAACTACGTGCTAACATTGTTTTGTTTGCTTCTGTTAGATTCTAAAGGATGCAACGCTTTACTTTTCGCGTGCAACACCCAACCTTGCGACAGTGATCCCAGCAATGGATCACGTCGACAAGATGCTCACATCATATTCCCGCAACAAAAAATACCTTCTCTCAATCCGTTCTGCAGTTCGGCTGGCCAAGAACACTCTCAACCGGTATTACCGGCTCACGGACAGGTCTCAGACATATCGAATCGCAATGGGTATGTGCTGTTCGATCTTAGTGTTTTTTAAAACTGAGATTTATATAACTCTAGTCTTACATCCACAGCACAAGCTAACATACTTTAAGGCAGCACGATGGGAAGATGACTCAATCAAAACCGCGGAGAGACTTGTGCGCGAAGAATTCGAACGTTCATACTTATCAATCAATGATGACTCTGATGTGGGATGCGAAGACGATCTCTTAGAGTCAGACTACAATGCGCAGATGGTATGTTTTATTTTATTTTTATTTGGCATCTGTACTGAATAGTTCTTAGAGCGACAACATCTTTGACAATCTCCCAGTGCTCGCACCCCCAAAATCTGCTAACCTAGGCTCCGAACTTGACCGGTACCTCAGTACGGACGTGGAACACGTCACTAACCCTATTTCTTGGTGGTGCGAACGTCAGAAATCTTTCCCCCGGCTTTCACGCATGGCTATCGACTACCTGACCATCCCCGGTATGTAACTGGCTGTTTTTCGACGCATTGTAAGCTTACATTTTGCCATAGCGACATCTGTTGATGTAGAACGACTGTTTAGTCGCGGTCGCCTGATCCTATCGCACGTCAGAAGTCGTCTATCAGCGCAGTCAACACGCGCGCTTCTTTGTCTTGGCCTGTGGAGTGAGTTGCGTCTTGTTGAGTCTGAGGATGTAATTCAGGTGTTGAAGCTCCCAGACGTTGTGGGGGAAGAGAAGGCCATGGACGATGGATGGGACAGTATCAATAGACAGTAAACTAGCTACTACATTGTTATCTCGTAGGTATAATTCATAGAGACCCGCGGGTATACCCTCCATGGGTTGTACCCCGGGTCCGTTATGCAGGTACCCGTCGACAAACCCGTACCCGCTGTGGGGGTATGGGTATATCTCGGGGTGCGGGTACGGGTCCGACCACTGCTACCCGGGGGTATACCCATGCAGTTCCCTACATAGGATTTACGTTTTTTAGGGCACATGCAGTTTGGCGTGTATCGCGACGACTGTGAAGGCATCCATCCTGACATAATCGAAGAATACTATGGGGTTCACGGCCAAACTACAACACGGCGGCAACATCAGACTGGTGCTGGACACCCTATTGATGAAGAAGACAGTGATAATGACGACGAACCTCTGAATGTGGTTGAGGCCATCAACAATCAGCAAAGACAACACATCCACCACGAAGCCATTGTTGTTCCATCACACGGGAATCCTTTCGTCAATGACGAAACACAACAGCAGTTTTCTGCCACCCTTGATGAAGTTATTGCCGAGGATATCACACCACACAATTGCCGACTGACAGCAACTGAGTGGGAAGGTGATGAATATCCAGTCTTCGAGACTATTTCCGTTGGTCGACGAGGGTCCAAAGAACTCCATATCTCACTTGCTGAACCAATCTGGTTTAATCGAGCAAAGCTATGGTGTCAAGCATTATTAGTCTTGTCATATTTTTTAGCGAGTGGTAGAGAATAACGAGAGCCGACTCAGACAATAGTACGTCAACGAGGCGGGTGGACAATATATCAATTATCCTTGTTAGCCACAAATATAAACCTAGGCACCAGCATCTACATACTTACCTTGCTTTGAGTCGTTTGCACGTCTGCTTCTTGAAGTCATCTTCACATTCCCTCTCACTCGGACTCTCATGGATCAGGCTATGCTGTCATATTTATGCATAATTTTAGCTGATTACAGGTATTATCATTATGCATGGCTGTTGCTAATCCCAAATCATCCTTCTTTATGCATAATGGTGCCTGCATCACACTGATCCCATAATAGGGATTTATATTCTTAGATTATTCTCATGCCCTACGCATTTTTGGCCACCTACCGTGGGAATTTCCCCACAACACCAAAAACATCGGCCATTTTGGGAATCTCCACAATATCAATTATTCCCACACCCTCCCCACCTCACTGCAGCTTCACCACTACACCATAATAAGTCCCCCCTTGTATCTAAATAGTAGTTTGGTACATACATGTATAAAATAACATAATAAACCACTTTTTTTGTGTATCCATGTGACAGCTCCCCCTCCAGGGGCAATTCAACATAGGGTGGGGAACAAAACATTTTCGCACTTTTGCCCCTGTGATAGGGGGATGTTCCAGGACATTCAGAACATGTTTAGGAGTATATATGAAGTGATTCACACCTTTATTGGACCCCCTGAAGTGTCCTACATCAATAGATATACCACATATGCAAGAAAACACAGAATATGTTCCCAATTCATTATTTGTAGGTGAACAAACTTGTAAAAATAAATCCCAGAATCTATTCAACAATAAGAATAATGTATCAGGAGCCCAGGACCATAGGATAATCCCCTGTTGCATGGTGTACCCCCCCTCTCCTGGTGGTTTACCCCCTGTGAAAATCTTTCCTGTAGGACCGGACCTCAATTGAGGTAGGGGTTCTATTTCTATATATATTTCAGGTAGGTCTATCATATAGCTGGCCCAGGACACACATAGGATCCTGCTACAGGAACAAAAACATAGAAAATCGCATTTTTGACACTTTTGATGTTTTCAGTATCTTAGTCTTGCATAAATAATACAACCTGTTCATATATCATTATCATAGTATATATACTTGCTTTTTGTCACAAGGATCAGCTCAAAATAGGCCAGAGGTTTGAGTTAGTGTGAATGCTTGCTATTTCTACTGATAAGGAGCCCATACTTTCAATACATCGAAATTTAATAATCAGACACCTGGAGTAGATTTTAAATATACTCAGTATCATAGGCCTAAATGTACAGAACAATCCAACAAGAATTGAGTGCTGAGGAAGTGAAATAGATAAGAAATTGAGTGTGGGAAAGTTCAAAGACCCAAAACATCGAAAATGGTCAGTTGAGCAATAGTAGGACTTTAATGCTAGGACAACTCAGATATACACCACATCCCTTCCACCACCCTTCAACCTCAGGGCAGTATGTAGTATAGGTTCCTTTAGTAGTCTACAATGTATCCTACATATTTGTAATGAAAGATTTGACCTGTATCATATATAAATGTAACTTTGTGTGAAAAGATGGCAATTGTCACTTTTCACACATATGTGATTTTACTTGTCATTCAGTCAGTCCTTGATGGATCTTTCTAAAACTTAAAATCTATCATCAGGGGAATACATAGGACGTATCCCAGGTCTTTGATCACTTATCATAGGCTTTATTACTATGTAGGCTTCTTATCAGTAGAAAAAGCCCCTGTACATCATATATCACATTTGCACCCTATGTAGGGCTGATCCTTGGCACAAAACATATTTTTGAATGTACTACTGATCATATCTGAGCAGGTCTGGTCATTTGTGCAAGAGTAAGATACTGAAAAACATCAAAAGTGTCAAAAATGCGATTTTCTATGTTTTTGTTCCTGTAGCAGGATCCTATGTGTGTCCTGGGCAAGCTATATGATAGACCTACCTTAAATATACATAGAAATAGACCCCCTACCTCAATTGAGGTCCGGTCCTACAGGAAAAATTTTCACAGGGGGTAAACCACCAGGAGAGGGGGGGTACACCATGCAACAGGGGATTATCCTATGGTCCTGGGCTCCTGATACATTGTTCCTATTGTTGAATAGATGCTGGGAATCATTTTTACAAGTCTGTTCACCTAGAACTAATTAAATGGGAACATATTTTGTGTTTTCCTGTATATATGCTGTATCTAATGATGTAGGGCGCTTCAGGTGGTCAAAAATGTGGGGGGATCTCTTCATATACACTCATAAGTGTGTACTGGATACTATAGGACATTTCCCTATCAAAGGGGCAAAAGTGTGAACATGTTCTGCAACCTAGGCTATGTTAAAATGGACCTGGAGGGGGAGCTGTCACATGGATACACAAAAAAAGTGGTTTATTATGTTATTTTATACATGTATGTACCAAACTACTATTTAGATACAAGGGGGGACTTATTATGGTGTAGTGGTGAAGCTGCAGTGAGGTGGGGAGGGTGTGGGAATAATTGATATTGTGGAGATTCCCAAAATGGCCGATGTTTTTGGTGTTGTGGGGAAATTCCCACGGTAGGTGGCCAAAAATGCGTAGGGCATGAGAATAATCTAAGAATATAAATCCCTATTATGGGATCAGTGTGATGCAGGCACCATTATGCATAAAGAAGGATGATTTGGGATTAGCAACAGCCATGCATAATGATAATGCCTGTAATCAGCCAAAATTATGCATAACCCTGCCATGAACAGGTGCATGGATCCTGCACCGAGTGACAATCGGGAGTTCTTCTGCCGAGGTCTCAAGTCCGACAGTCAACTGTGTGACTGCGAGGAGTTTTTTCCTCGAACAGAGGATGAAGGCCACTGCGTGGAGTGTGGCCATGGCTGCAGCAAGCACCCCCGTAAGGCTTCAAGTTGCAAACCAGCAGAAGATCAAAGGGATGCTGACAAACAGCCAGATCCAAGTTCCTCGGCTGCCGTCAAGGATATTTTCACTCGCATCACTGGTGGAAAAATGGTCAACGACAACTTGAAGTCATCCGTCACTGGCAAACGAGGAAGCCTGCCACTTGCCACTGCTCGGGACGAGGCATTATCGACTATGTCTTCGACTCGGCTTGCTGGTTATCATAAACTGGCCAAGGGTCCAGCACCATCGGCTGGTGTTCGGAAGGTAAGAGACAGCTACTAGTGCATGAATATTAGTTTGCATGGGCATTTGTTTCCAGGACCGAAAGGAAACTACTACTAGCTTGCAATTGCTTGGAAGTCAAACGCGCCGGAACACGACTTCGGGTACTACGACAGCCGGGAGCGTGTTTCGTGTTGCGTCAGTTGCAATGTTGACCTGCGGAGTTGATGTCAGTCGACAATGCTCATGGGACTTTTGACTTGCTGATTCATAATGTTAAACAGCGAAACGGTCTCGTAAGGGTATCGAAAGCCCCAAGCAAGAACGGTCAAAACGAAATTCAGGCTATGAAAAATCGCGGGTGTTACCTTGAACAACAATTCATCATCGAAAGTGGATGGACGTATCGCAAGGTCACTAGCCAGTTACGAAGTTGGTTTCCCAAGGTCTTTGAACACTTGGATATCCAAGGCGAGAAGCGGCAACCAGCAACATTTCGGTCGACTTCAAGTTCTCACGACGAGAAGCCTATTTGGCGACTCCTTAACAAGAGTGGACAAACACTAGCAGTTGTCGATATCGGGTTTCCGACTGGGAATGACCTTGCGAAACACAAGGGCCGGGACAAGGCCAGCGTTAGTGATTGTCATCTCTGGTTTGGTGGGTTCATTTACATTTTTTGCTTCATTGCGCTAAAACACACATCAAATTTCACTGGCCCTTAGTCACAAGGAACCGGATTCCTGATGATATCTACGAATCTTGGAATACACAACCTGTCGTAGCAGGTTCAGATTCCGAACGTGATGATTGTAGCGATCGAGATGTTCTTTTTTCAGACACGGACAGTCCAGATGATTCAGTCAGCAACAAATCAGATAATGAGCTTGCGAGTTCATTGATGGAACTCGATATGACCTCAGAAACTGAAGTCAAGGACCTGAAAGGAAAAGGAAAGATGAAAGCGGCACTGGCTAGGTCACCAACAATAAGCCGAAACGGTAAGTCACTATTTATGATTCGAGTTGCGCATGGACTGATCCATTTCGATAGCGAAGCGCAGTCACACACTGCTTTCCCCGTCACCATCAGAAACTACTACTAGGAAAGCAGCTCAGAAGAAACTTCGAGTCAAAAAGGGTTTGTCCTTCCACTACCGTGACGACTCAGTGCATCCGTACTTATTTTATTTGTTATTCTAGAATCTGCGAGTGACACCATTCCCCTCTTTTTCAACTCCGAGTCTACAAACTCACCACCTCCATCAACGCAACCTGCTCGATCCAATACTAGTAGCCATGGCGAGTTTATCATTCCACTCATTTATGCTATTTATTGTTTAATCTTTGCATTATTTTAGAAACAGTGTCGTTTCGTACTAGTCGAGTCACGGCGCCAGCTAATGAGTTATCCTCTCCACCCGACTTCGTGTCAGTCAGCGAGGCGGATGTCCTGTGGCGCAACAAAATACAGGACGACGACCCTTTTGCACCAGAATGCATCAATCCTTGGGACACCCGTTATTCTATGTTGAATCCCGCCAGCCTCCGACTCATTTGAGCAGAGTCGCAATACTCTCGCGCAACATTTGACAGCGAACCAGTCTACAGGCACACTAATTTGATTGTTTTTCCATTGCACATTGTGGTTCTGCTACTATCCTCATCATCTCATTCCGTACTCCTACCTCACATCCACGCGATGCATCACCTACTACTAATGATTTGCAGTCATGTACATGATTTCACTCGTTACCTACTTGAACCGTTGTGTTCTCGAGACTCGAACTGATAGTTACCAGCATTGGCAACCAAGCCCTCGTCTGATCGACCTACCTTGACCGTTGTGTTCTCGAGACTCGAACTGATAGTTTCCGGTATTGACAATCAAGCCTTTGTTTGATCAACCTACCATTGTGTACTCGAATTGTCTGATCGCTGGTGTTCATGGGTTGTATTTTTTTTAAAGAGCTTTGACGCTGTCAACACAACTCCACGTCTCCGAGTCATCCTCTTGAATGCGGAGGCTCCTCATCGATGAAAACGCGCACCGCGCAAGCTGCGGAACGCGCAAATATTAAATGTGCAGGTATAACGCCATACCTTTTTGGTTCTTATGGGTGCAATTTTTGCTTTTCAACTCTTGCGCCTACGAGGTGGTGCTCATCGCACAGCTGTTCCACTAGTGTGCATCTCAATGGTCGAGTTTTTTGTCCCGATTGCGTACAAGGCGAGGACGGTCATATTCTTTGCCCCTGCGGATGGATGTGGGTTTGTGGCGCGTGTGCCACTCAGAAGAACATCCAGACGATGTTTATCCGCTGTCCAGGATGTCAGACATTTTATTGTTACGAGTGCAGATACATTGACACATGCACGGGCTGTAAAAAGGTGGCACTATGCAACGATTGCATGGAACTTGACTCGGAAGACAACTCTGAAGAGGGTGCATTGCTCTCAATGGTGTGCGATTCCTCGTACTACAGAATCATTATGTGTCCGACTTGCATGGAGACTGAGCACCAGAAGTGCAATATGGCGCTGGATCTGTTCAACTATTCTTACACACAACATGCACACATACACAAAGGATTTACATAACACAGAGTCGTGTACCGTTGCCGAGATGTATCAGGATGCTTTGGGATTAGCGTGACTTCCCGTTTTGGTAACACCGCACGACGACAAAATCGAGCTCGCTGTTGAGGACAGCGAGCTCAAATAGTTGCCCAATCCTTCACCCTTTTCACTGGTTCTTTTGAGGGAAAAAAATATCAACTGTAGCTAGTTAAATATGCTATTTTGACCATATATCTTCCAAACTTACAATATTCACCCATTCCTGTCATGTATTTATACTGGGCGCTCTGAGGGGCTTATTATGGGCTCAATTAATGATGTATTCATTGTATAAATATATTATAACTTCTACAAAGCCAGAAGTATTCAATTAGAGTCCAGAAAATACCAGAAAAGCGGTCAGGGTGGGGGGAGGTGGGGAAGGAGGGCTGCGTTGTCCAAAAGTAAGCATAGTTAAGCTACAGGTAATTTTTTTCCCTCAAAAGAACTAGTGAAAAGGGTGAAGGATTGGGCAACTATTTGAGCTCGCTGCCCTCAACAGCGAGCTCGATTTTGTCGTCGTGCGGTGTTACCAAAACAGGAAGTCACGCTAATCCCAAAGCATCCTGATACATCTCGGCAACGGTACGCGACTCTGTGTTATGTAAATCCTTTGTGTATGTGTGCATGTTGTGTGTAAGAATAGTTGAACAAATCCAGCGCCATAGTGCAAGGTAAATCGATTTACAAACAATTGATTTTGGTTGTCATACTCATTAATTTTGGCATATTTCAGAGCACACACTCCGTAGAGAGCTAGAACACCATGAACGGCATTGTGCGCCACACAATGAGGGTAACGAGTACATATTCAAAAAAAGCATCCAGTCAATGATGAACGAATGTAAACGAATACAAATGAAAATCACTAGTATGTATCATAGTACACGATCCATCCAGATTGTACGTACAACAACAACTGCAAATGAAATCCATACAAGCTCATGCTTCCATGACACGGAACACCTAAGCATCGCAACGCAGACAATGAATCAGCAAAAATATTTACCAAAAAAAACATCACGCACCTTAACAACCCCACTCTTCAAATCTTCCAACCTATAACTCACATTCTCCACAGTCTGCGTAGCCTTCGGTGTCAGCGCGCTGTTCGCCCTCCGCCCCCATCTTCGTAGTAAACTCACCTGCTGGCCGACATGCTGGTTCGCTTGCCATACACGAACTTTGCTCTTTTTACTCTCCACCTCGCTCACTACACCTACAAGCGGACCGTTCTCCCCTGCGCCAACAGTTTGGCTATATGTGTGAAGTCCCTTATACCCCTTAAACTTCGCGTCCAAAATGACGATCACGTCGCCCGGAAGAATATCAGCAACGCGGCGCTGCACCGACGCGGCAGTTTGCACGTAGATCAAGTATCCCCAATCCTCACCCTCCCCTGAGACGCGTAGCGCATCGGGAACTTGGGCAAGGACAGCCTTGACAAATCCTGCATACGAACCGTCGCCAACAAGCGAGCGTTTGGATTTTTCGAACAGCCCCGTAGCAGACTCCACCACCTGCACTCCGACCTTGCCCCAGAGCGACATGAGGTCGTCCGCGCTGAGCTGCTGGTCAACAGGACGAGCAGCCTGACCTGAGGTGCGGCGAGACTCTGATTTACGTGTTGGTGTTGAAGTGGATTCATGGAACGTCGAGTCTTCTGAGAATGCGGACGAGGCTTGGTCTCCTTCATCGTCAAACTCAGATATAGCCTGGGGGATCGAGGGAAGTTCCCACTGGGCACTGCTGGCTATCTGTTCAGGAGGGTCGATAGCGGATGGTGGAGGTGGCGGCGGTAAAGGGACCGAGCGAGGAGGAACACGGCTTGAACGGCGTTGTGGAGGCGCAGGAGGCTCTTCCTCAGCATCAAGTTCAGACTCTACCATCACATACTCTGACTGGGTACCAGATTCTGATGAGGTGGCTCTTTCCAAGGGTAGAGACGAATGAATCCGCTGCTTTTGTACGGGAGTCTCAGCCGCACTGGAGTAGTCAACCGAAGATATCCTGGAGGACGGTACCGATCCCGTCGCAACGCTAGAGCGACGGTTTAGCAAGGAAGTAGGGATGGATGGAATTGGAGGTCTTCCGATGGGAGGGGGCGAACGCGGAGGAGGAGTTGGAAGTACCTCAACAGACCTCAGCGCCAAAGACGGCCGTCGGGGCGGAGGCAGAGGTGGTACCCCTACCTCAACCGACTCTCGAACATCCTCATCTGAATAGTACACTTCCTCAATCTCACTCTCCTCCATTTCAACACGCACGCCGTCATCCGACGTCGTCTGGCTGTATTCCTGCTCCGGATCGATGTCAACAGGTGGTGGTGGTCGGCGTGCGGGAGGTGCAGGTGCAGGTACAGGAAGCGCCGCATCTTCATTCTCACTATCATCTTGCTTTGGTGCAAGCCGTCTGGCAGTGACAGGCGCTACACCCACACTGAGTGGCATCATCCCAAATCGCATGCCACCCATACCCGCAAGTTTCGCAGCGATTCGCTGCTTCCTCGCTGCTTCGTCCTCCTCTGTTTCATCTCTCTCCTCAGGTTCCTTAGCATCAACGTCGGGCTCATCAGGAGGGATAGATGTCGGGGGAGGTGCACGGGGAAACGTGGGTCGAGTAAGCGGCGTGGGGACTGGTGGTGCACCAAACTGGATCCCGCCTAAACGCGCCATACGCTCTGCGATCGTCCGTCTGCGCACAGATTCCTCATCTCCTTCTTCAGGCTCTTGAACTCGTTGAGGCTGAGAGGGTGTCTCAGCATCTAAGAACTCTGCCGAAGGATACTCCTATCAGTAGTTGCCACACCAAAAGCTGACAACAACATACCTTGCTCAGTATCCTCCTCGACAGGAACAACCAGGGGAAGTGCTGTGATGATCGGGGGAGAAGTCGGTCTGCGCAACGAGGGGCGAGGGGAGGTCGGCACAGGCGGTGGTGTAGGTGGAGCCTCGATATCCATAGACTTGACACTTGCACTCGTACGCCTGGCAATGCGAGGAGGTGTGGCGGGTGGCTCCTCCAGAATATCCACAGATTTGACACTCGCACTCGTACGCCGAGGAACGCGAGGGGGTGGTGCAGGTGGCTCCTCCTTGATATCCACAGACTTGATGCTCGCACTTGTCCGCCGAGCAACGCGAGGGGGCGGTGCAGGTGGCTCCTCAGCGGTTTTCACTGCCAAACCAAGATCTCAGCGACACGTCAGCTTCACGCACTCGCACAAAGATTACGTACCACTCTTGACAGGAGGAGGCACAGGCCGCGGTGCAGGCGACTCAGGTCTTTCCTCGTCAGCCTGGAGTGCATATGGCAGTCTGGGTGGTGGTGGTGGAGGAGATAACGGTGCAGTCAATGGCTTTGATGATAAATTGACAGGCGGAGGCGGGACGGGACGTGTGATACGTGCAGGTGCCATTTCGTCGTCGTCCTGGTACTGGTCTGGGGTTAGTTCCGGTTCAAGGATCTCGTGCGCTTTATCTGACGGTGCTGAGTCAACGGCATCTGTCAATGCGGCTTCCTCGTCTTGGGCGCTTGTGCCTGATTGATTCGGGTCACCCTGGCCTGGGTCGTCATCTTGTGGGATAGGACGTGGCGGTGATAGAGGAGCATCATGAAGAGTGTGTGGCTGTGATGCAGACTCCCAAGCTTCGGGCTCATTTAAAACCCGATCCTCATATCGCTCTTGTTCGTCCATCTCATCGTGATATAGCACGCGGCGAGTTGCGCCCAAATCAGGCTGAGATTCATCGTCGAACTCGTCTGGTACAAAAAAAGCAACGAAAGATCGATTAATACACTACAACATGAGTACAGGTGGTAAAATTAGAATTCACCAGCACGAGAAGCGGGCTCGTCTGCTTCTCTTGCTTCTTGGGCTTGCACTGGTTTTTCTTCTACGTGTGACTGGGGCGAGATATGGGCAGCAGGAGGAGAGGGAATTGATTCGCCGACTTCTTCAAGGTCCACATTGACCTCGTCTTCGACGTCGAGAGGTTCTTCTATGGGGACAGGTGGAGCGGGGGAGTCATGTCTAGCGGTAGGTGAGGGTATGGAATCCCGGCGGGGTACAGGCGGGGGCCCCGCAAGTGGGTTGAACGCGCCCATCTGGGAGAGCTTAGCAGCCACACGTTGCCTACGCGCTTCTTCCTCTGCTTCGTCTTCTTCCTCCTGCTCGTGCACTTCATGTTCTTCCTGCTCCTGTACCTCCTGCTCTTGTTCTTGTTCGTCCTGCTCAGGCTCAGGCTCGCCATGATAGACGTGGTCATCCTCCTCTTCGAGCTTGTCTGCGGGGCCCACCTCGGATGTGTCAAGCTCGACACTTACGCCTACTTCGCCGATCTCCCTCTGTACGTCGCCGATGACGAGGATCTGCTCCGATGACGGGACTGGGTCTTGTTCTGGACTTTCGACGTGTTCTTGTGACGTCACCGTTACAATAGACGGTCTGGCCTCTGGTTCTGGTTCAGTCATAGGCTGAGCAGTGGGTTCTTCTGTGGGTTCAGCATCTAGGGCCTCTTCGGTAACTTCTGGTGCTGCATCAGGTACCGGGACATCTGGGAGCTGAGACGCAGGAGGGGACTTGTACGCCTTCTTGCGCGGGGGAGCTGCACGGCGTGGACCGGCGGGTACTGGCATTGAGCGGGTGGTTGCCGCGTTGGAAGGGGAATCTGCAAGGGAGAGTGAGGAAGAGTCGGAGTCTTTACGTGTAGGGTCGGGGAAGTAATCTGTAGAACATCATTAATACTGACTTTAGGGCAGAAATCAGGATACCCACCTGAATCAGTCTGCGCCTCTTCCTTGACGGCAGTGGGAGGTCTAATAGCTTCCGCAGGAGGTGTAGTCACTAGGATACGCGTTATTTCGTAACGTATATGAGATGGAATGGCATACCCTCTGAAGCTGAATCTGGAGAAACCACTTCCTCCTCATTCTTGGGCTGAGGTGGAGGAGTCGCTGGCTTCTTGGGAGCCGGTTTGGCGAACAGAGGCGGGCCCATGCCGACACGTGCACCACCAAGACGAGCCATACGAGCAGCGATCGCGGCACGGCGCTGCCTCTCTTCTTCCTCCGGATCTTGTTCAATCTCAGCGGCACCATCCTGGGCCTCGTGTTCGCCTTCTAGGTTGGCAGGATCATGATCAGGATCACCCGCAGCACGGGGAGGAGACCCTTGGTCCTCAATCGCCCCACCTGATGGAACGACCTCATCTGCAGGAGGTGATATTGGTGGTGGTGGTTTCCACTTTGGTTTGTCTGTAGGTTTTGGGAGGATCGGGGGCGGGGTGCCCCCACCAAACGCACCCTTTCCTTGGAGAGCAGCCATGCGCTCCTTGAGACTCCCGCCTTTTCCGATGCTCTCCATCGCGTCTGATGCAGACATCCCCGGAGTCTTACGCTCAGATTCTGGCGACTGAGGTGGTGAAGGTACCTTTGGTTTCCATGACTGGAGGGTCGAGGGCTTTGGACGTGGTGCAGGCCCAGGGGCGGGTGCCGCACCCTTGTTGGCGTTCTCGAACGCGGCGATCCTGTCGCGCAGAGAGCCTGGCTTTGGTTTTGGCGGCGTCTCACTCATAGTTGGTTGGTAGATGTAGATGGTAGTAGTGGACTACGACAGTCGCAGCATGTTTGGCCGCGTTCACTTGACACGAGGCTATCAGTGTCATTAGGTTCTCACGCTCAAGTCAGGGTGACGGATCTTGGCAACTGCACTGAAGCATCGTGCGCTGAAAACAACCGTAGTATATGTGCAATGTCATCTATGAAATGAATTGAAAACGGAAGAATCGGAGTGAGCGTCAACATTGAATATTGAAGTCCACAGAAAGTGTAATAAAGTCAAGATATGGAACACCCCCTAATCAAAAAGAAGCAAGGTCTGTCTTCAGAAAGAAGGTTCAACTATGAAGGAATTGAAACGTCCTATAATTGCATCGTCGAAGGTTCTTCAGTGGCTACAGCACGAGACGGTCCTGCTTCTGGCTGTGGCTCGCAAGCCATTGATTAAAAATCAGTTTCTTGCTGGGTGAATTGGACCTACAGGACAAACTACATCAGGAGAATATCGAATAAACAGACAAGCGTTTACTACCTGGTAGTAGGTACTGGAATACCGAGAATGTCTTCCTCTTGCTCGTCATTCATGAGGTCGACATCGTATACTGGCGGTGGTGGATCCGGTCTCTTTTCAACAGCCTCACCGATTGGCGAAGGACACAGTTAGATCTCGTGAACCCAACAGAATCGCACACTACAAACATATGTTACCTGTCCGCTGAGCGGGACGTCAACAACGACCGGAGCCTCCCGTTCCGACCGATGCTCCCTTTGCTTTCCCTTCTTGACAGATAACGGACGAATGCAGTTGAAGAAGCTCTTGACATCGTGAAAGGGAGAGGACGAAGTGAATTCTGGATCAACGTGACGCGTTGCAGAGGAAGTAGCCCGTAGAGGAGACCCGCCGAGGTGCCCATGCACCTTATGGCGGCGCTGACCAGTAATCTCCTACTAAGGGTGTGTAAGAACATTTGGCCGCTGATCATGAAACCACGTACATCAAAAAGCGGTTCAAGGACCTTTTGTTTTCCCCGTGAATGACGGGCCTAGAGTGGGTCACCGCGCGTGAGCTTGTGCACGGATTGATGAACAGTTAAATCACCTTCTTCTTCAGGCTCCCGGCCAAAGGGTCATTGCCTGCTGATGTGAGCACCTCCTCCCGGATTTCCCATTGTGATATCTTCCCGTCATTTTCACCACTAAATAGAAAGCGTCCATCCACCAAGAACGCAACATGGTACACCCCATCCGAGTGCTTGTACTGTGCGATCTCTGTCCCTGTGTGCAGCTGCCACAAGCGAACAGTGCAATCCACAGATGCTGACGCGAGAAGAGGGCGACCGCAAAATGAAGAGAAAAGAGAGGTGGAGGGTTGTGAAGATCATGCGGGTTATCAGATCGGCGCTACTGATGTCTCATGAACCTCCATATCGTATACGGGGCCAGGAGGTCCGACGCGTCACAGTGTAGGTGCACCAACGCAAAACCGTGCAGTCGAACATAGACACTTGAAGACTAAGCTAGACGTCATTTTTATCATCCTCCGGGTTATGAAAGAATTTACAATCATGTAATGACGTTGGTAACGGAGAGACGTTTCATGTTGAATTGGAGGGGCTGTGAAGCTTTATTTGGCAAAGCCCTTGGATCCAAACAACCGCTTTCGGCTTTCGATAGAAGAAGGCGTGCGATACTCAAATAGCATCAGTACCAAATACATTCACAAACTGAGCCAGTATAACAATCCAGATGAGACTCCCATTCTAATCGTCATAATAATGTCCACAAGGGAAATATATCTTGTCAAGGAATTTGTTACAGGTCTTTTGTGTGCTCGAGTCGGAATCTGAGTCACGGTTGGTGTGATAGGTGATAAAGTGCGATGGGGAGGCGTGTGATGATGGACCTCCGGTGGCTTCTGAATGCAACCGGAAGAGCAGCGCTCGTTTTTTTTCAATGGCTTTGTCTTTTCATTGCGACAAATCTCTGTTACTCCTAGATCTAGTAAGAACAAAATTGTGTACATCGAGAGATGGCATTCCAGAAGCGGCGAACGGAGAATAGGTGGGGGGGATGTGGACATCGGTTCGTCGTGCAAGGGAAAATGCGACTCGAAAGGAAGGTTAAAGTTGGGCTCCAGAATTCGTTACATTTTTAACCTTGCAGGTTATGTCCGAGTGCTAAGTAGAAATGGACTGAATGCGAGCAAGAATGGCCCAGTTCGAGCGCCAGGCAGCATGATACTGGTGTGACTATTTCTCTCGCCATCAACGTCCACATCATGATCGGACTCAGTCGCAATGTACATTCAATAGAGCATATTAGAATTGACCTGCAAATACTGCCTCAGACTCTGTTCAATCGGCATGCAACTTTGACTCTAGACGACAAAGGGTTAGTTCTCATCGCCATTACCGGTAACACGAAAATTTCCTCCGGTTTCAAGGTCAAGGGGGAGTTGCAATTGACCTGTAGCCGTGAACAATCTGTCAGTCAACCAATCGCGAAGTATTTTGAGTCACAAAAGAGCAACCGCTGCCAAGATTTGTCGTCGTTGCTCATATTGTATCAGTACTTTCTAGTACATTGTAGGCCCGTCGATCGTACTGACCAGTGACGTCCCAGCAGTAGACAAAATGATAATTTTGGCTGTTTGTGGAGCTGGCAATTCGCTGCAGGAGAGGTACCGATCAGACCCGTTACAATGAACATCGACATCTGGATTCGTCATGTTTCTCTTCCGATCGAGGAAATGTCACTAGATGACCATTGCGAAACATATCGATAAGGTCCTCTAAGCTAGTGTGGAACAGAAAGACGCCTAATCAGCGTTCCGCGGTGATACGAGGGATGAGCACAGGGCGAACATGAGACTTTGGGCACTACATGGAAGCAATTAAGGCAGGTCAGCTGTGCAGCCTGTGCTCTTGAGCACTTCTGAAGTTCCGATTCAGGCGAAGAACACATGAATATACCGGAAGTACAATGTACTCACACGGAATGCTAAAAATTCCCTTGCGCACTCTGTCTCGTACCTGCACTGATGTCACTTCGCAGATAAAATGCTCATCCTGACGCTGGCGAGGACTGCAACGTGTTGTGTCATCTTCTGGGCGGGAGTACAGCTTTAAACGAGTAAGAGAGAGTCAGAGTTCGGAGTACATATGAACAGTAACATGAGCTCTGAAGTAAACGATAACAGACACGAGAAGTTATGTGACTTAAGGTCGCGGTGTTGCCTCGAGTATGCACTAAAGCGTAGTTCACCATACTGGAGTAATTTGAATTGGGTAAAGTGCATAGTTGGAGATCGTGGTTTGCAAAGATCGAACCGGCCAAAATGCTGTATTGCGGCATGACCCTGTGAATGGACCATTAGCGCCGCCTCGTGGAGCCCACGACTTCCGCCTGCAGGATATCAAAACTCACCTACCTTGTCAAACAAGAGACAAGCAGACCAACCAGTGAGTGCTGATAAACTTGTTTGCCTCCATAGTTGATCACCAACCGTGCCGGCAGAGTTAGATTAATCCACCAGATTACGATAACGAGCTATGAGCGAGCCTGTTAATAGGTACAGCATCGTACATGAACCCTGGATGGACAAGTTTAAACCACCTCCAACCTCAATGAAAGCATATCCAAAGCACACGTTTAAAGGACACGAGAGGGTGATTCAAGAGTTCGTCTTCTTGCACGACAACGTTCACATTGTGAGCGGCTCTTGGGACGGCACGATGCGGAAGTGGAACTGCAACACAGGACATCTGGTCGGAGCACCATGGAAGGGCAAGGGTGGAAAGATATATGCACTGGCACTTTCACCTGATGGGAAGATGATTGCGTGCGGGAGGGAAGACGGAAGCGTGCAGCGGTGGAATACTGACGGTGAGATGATCGCAGGCGTTTGGACAGGTCACAGCAACGCGGTCCGGTCGCTTTCGTGGTCTCCTAGCGGGGATCATCTCGCAAGCGGATCGAAAGATGGAACAATTCTAATTCGAAAAGCAGAAAGTGGCCAAGTCGAGGTGGGCCCGATCGAGACGGAGCAAATCGATGTGTGTGCTCTTGCATATTCACCCTCTGGAAACAGAATTGCATCGGGCGGAGAAAGCGATACAATTTGTATTTGGAACACGAAGACCGGAAAGCTTGTTGTGGGCCCCATCGAAGACCTGGGTAACACTGTGACGTCGTTGGTGTGGTCGTCGGACAACACAAAACTTTACTCCGCATCCGACGAATTTCACGTGTTTTCAACAGCAAATCAGGCAAACTACTCCATTCCTTCGAGCATAACTATATTTTGAGTTTCGTCGCACTTTCACCCAAACACAATATTCTGGCGTGCGTGGGCGATCATGGTATTGCCAAACTATGGGACACAGAATCCCTCCGGCCACTTGCACAGTTAAGCCGGGACCCTGAATGGCTTTACCATGTGTCATTCTCTCCAGATGGGCACCATCTAGCATATGCCGGATACAACAAAAAACTCACTCTCTGGTCTGTCAAAGTCACGGATCCTCAGCTTGTAGCATCCATACTCCCTCAACAAAGTGACAGACACAGCATACAACAGGAAACCCGGCCCAACTCCCCATCATTGGCATCTTGCCTCGAAGTCAGTACTTTCATGTTTGACTGCCTGCCTTCCTTGCTCACAGTGCTCTTGCAGGCTGAAACTCGGCCCAACTCCCCATCATCATCAGACCTTGACGTCAGTACCTTTAAGTTTGACCGCCTGTCTTCCTTGCTCACAATGCTGTGGCAGGCTGATGCTACTGGGGGCGATGGCATCATCGAGGGGAATGATAATCCATATGACAACTTCTTTCAGGTAAATTCATGTTTCCATGCAACTACACAATACTGACAACATGTAATTTTAGTCTTCGCGTCAATCTCTTCCACCAGCAACACCAGGCTCCCATCTCCCCCACCTGTTTTCAGCTCGCCGCTTCTTCAAGGTCTTCTCTCGCCCTCACCCACCGGCAGACGAGTCTGTTCAAAAGGAACGCTCGAAGCGCAAGTTCTTCGCTCGTCGTGCTCGTTCAAACTCATCTGTGGAGCTCGCGGCTATGTCAGGCAATCCACCAGTACAAGAAGGCAAAGTGGGAGAAGGCAAAGGTGAGCAAGGTGACAATGATGTGAGTGCCATTTTAGCTCTCCCACAATGTCACTTCAATATGACGGCTTTCAGCGTGGTTCCGCGAATGATCCGCCCAGCGCCAGAAAGGATGAAGGCGATCAGCGAGACGAGGCTCCCACGGACGCGCAGAGCCCACCATCTCATGATCCCACTCACCCCGACGACCTCGGTAGCAAAGACAATCGAAACCTCTGGAAAAGGATGATGCGTGGTCGGGGAAAAGTCCTCTCCGACACCAACATTGCTCCAGCGATGAAACATCCCAAGGTCGTTGAGGTATCTGCTGTGCGCGGGTTCCAGGTAAGCTTTAGTTGTATCTTCTGGACACTTTTATTCTTATGAGAGACGGAACTCGCAGAGATATATCGCAATGAAGCGGGTACGCAAGACACAGCCATCGGCGGTGACGGGTAGTATTCCTCACTTAGGTGCCAGCTCGTCACAGCCGGGATCATCTTCGCAAGTAGTCTCTGTACAGGCAGGGCCATCATCGTACGTTGTGGTCGGCAACGGAGCTCAATCTTCGCAAGCTACTGGAGGTACATCATTACACCCATCCCCATCGCACGCCGTAGCCGTCAATCCAGTTCAATCTTTTCAAGCCATTGGAGGTCCATCACCGGACATGTCCCCATCGCACTTCGTGACCAACCACCACACCAATCACGACTCAGATTCACACACGACCATTGAAGGTTCCTTCAACAGGTTTCTAGTATGGATGTGTTATCCCTGTGGACGCTACAACAAGGATTATTAGTGTTGTGTGGGTTTTCTTGCTGTGCGTAGTACTAAGTTGTATCCTTCCTCCGTTTTGAAAATTTGTTTTTCGCGTTGTCTATCAGACTCATTCTACCACACCGGTGATCATATTATTTTCTCTCGCATGTAGGTGATTTCGTAACCACATTTTGTCCCATGGGTATCGGTTCAGCTATCCTCAGCATTACATGTACACGTGTTCTACTACGGGAACACTCGATGGGCGGTTCTGCTCAATACATTAACCTCCAGAAGCACAAAGTGGTTGTTACGATCGTGTACGCAATTGGGACCGTCAAAACTGGTGAACAAGTTAGTCAGGGAGATGCTGTGATAATCTAAACATACAATACATACCATACTCCGTCTGATGTATTGCTGATGTCTGAGGACGAGATTTCAGGCAGTGCCAAGTCAGAAGAATAGACAAGACAAATAACGGCCAAGATCATTGAACTACGGATCCACGAGAAACTGCTGAGAGGATTGATCTACACAACGTCAAATCCTGAAATCAGCTCACGAGTCCCTCCCGAATACGGATGACTTGTCTCCGGGAGGAACGAGTGTATTAGAACCATCTCGATAATGCACCATACTCCAAGCGAGAAATGCAGGCTGCACCATGACAAGTAGTTGCGCTGCTGTGCCTCCCATAATGTGCGACACCCCAAAGATAAGCCTACAAAAAAGCCTACAAAAGAAGTGATAAGTCGCCGAAACATCGCCAAATGAAAGTACGTGCACCCAAAAGAAAATTCCTATAGTAGTACCTCGTTGCTCGACCCTGTAGATGTCTCCAAGAACAGCTGCACCTACCGAAAGCCTGAACGAGCCACCAGAATACAGACCCTTCAGTCACATTGGATGTAGAAGTGGTGCCCCGGATGTGCCAAAAGGCTGTAGAATATGACCCAGCCTGCACCGGCCTGGCCAGGTAGATATGTGGCTGGCCGATTCGTAGAAGTGGGCATGGCCAGTGTACCTTGAACTCTGCTTAGGCACTGAGGGAATGTGTAGGGCGAGGACTGGCCAGCCTTGTAGGAGAAGTGCTGGCCAGCATTCCTACACACGACTGTACAGGAGTACCGGCCGAGCGCACAGGGCATTTACTGCCCAGCTCAGCCAGGAAGAAGCCTCAGGCCAGCACTCTTATACAATCGTGTAAAGGAGTGCCGGCCGAGTGCACAGGGCAGGTACTGGCCAGCTGCCAAGAAACAGCCTCCGGCCAGCACTCTTATACAACTGTGTATGGGAGTGCCGGCCAGGTACTGCCAGGAAACAGCCTCCGGCCAGCACTCCTCTACAATGGTGTACAGAAGTGCCGGCCGAGTGCACAAGGCAGGTACTGGCCAGCTGCCAAGAAACAGCCTCTGGCCAGCACTCTTATACAACTGTGTATGGGAGTGCCGGCCAGGTACTGCCAGGAAACAGCCTCCGGCCAGCACTCCTCTACAATGGTGTACAGAAGTGCCGGCCGAGTGCACAAGGCAGGTACTGGCCAGCTGCCAAGAAACAGCCTCCGGCCAGCACTCTTATACAATTGTGTATGAGAGTGCCGGCCGAGTGCACAGGGCAGGTACT